ATTTCTAAGTTGCTATTCAAAGGGGTTTCTTCATGTTTCCCCACTGTGTGTGTAGTTTAAACCATTCAACCCCTTCCATTACTCTCCCTTACCCCTTTTCTCCACCTCCGATTATTCAACAGCTTCCATCCAATACATATTCTTACATCCTCTACCTGCACAGGTGTTATATATTTAGATATTGTTGATGCTTTATCATTTTCTTTTCTTTTCCCTCTTCCACCAAGTTTCATACAGTAGTTCCACTGTTACAAATGTGTTCTACATGTGAGTTTGTATATGATCATGTTTGTTTTTGTGTACATGTTTATCTTTTGGATCTGTCTTCCACATATGAGAGAAAACATGTGGCCTTTGTCTTTCTGAATGTTTGCTTCACTTAACATTATGTCCTCCAATTGTATCCATTTATCTTCAAATCACATGGGGTCATTCTCTGTGGCTGATAAAACTACATATATATGTATATATATATATATATATATATATATACACACACACACACATATATATATATTATATATGTAGTATATTGTGATATATATATATCCATTCATCAGTTGTAGGGCATTTGGGTTGTTTTCAGAGCTTGGCTATTGTGTACAGTGCTGCAATAAACATTGGTGTGCCAAGTGTCTCTATTGTATCCTGACTTACATTCATTTGGGTAGATGTCCAGGAGCGGTATGACTGGATCATATGGCAGCTCTATTTTTAGCTTTTAAGAGAATCTCCATACTGCTTTTCATAGTGTTGTACTAATTTGCATTCCCACCAGCAATGTTTTAGGGTTCCTGTTTCACCATATCCTTGCCAGCATTTGTTGTTTCTGATCTTAAAGATGGGCATTCTAACTGGGGTGAGATGAAATCTTAGTGTAGTTTTGATTTGCACTTCTTTGATAGCCAGGGAAGTTGAAAACATCTTCATCTATTTATTGGTCATTTGTACCTCTTCCTTTGAAAATTACTTATTCAATTCATGTGCCCATTTTTTCATTGGGATATTGATCATTTGGGGGGTTGAATTTTTAGTTTCTTAAGGAGCATTACAAAGTAAAGTGTCACTGAGTGAAAACATTTACTTAACCAGAATATCCCTTTTCCCCAGTTCTCCTAGTACAGTTTCACTTTTCCTTACATAAAAATGGAGTATTATCTCCCTTCAGATTAATAGGATTTTGTTTTCATATTGTTTGAACTGTTAAAAAAATGAAAATATTAGATGGCTTTAAGAGCCAGTGAGGAACTTACTGATATAGACTACAACTTCATTTTTTTATTATGTGAGGTTTTTTTGCCAATGAAATACTAATAGTGACATTCTTTCATTTTATTTTGTATGTTAATTTCTAAAATTTGGTGCAATGTGATACTTTTTGTTTCCATCATTTTATCTGTTTAGTATAGCCAAAATGTATTATGTTCTTGGTGAAGGGGCATGTCAGCCAAACATTGCTTTATCCTTGATAGTTCAGATACAGCATTTGAAAGTCAGAATTGTCTTTTATTTTATTTTATTTATTTTGGCAATACTGGGGTTTGAACTCGGGCTCATCCTTGCTAGGCAGGCGTTCTACTACTTGAGACTCTGCGTCAGCTCTTTTTTGTGAAGGGTTTTTTTTGGGGATAGGGTGTCGTGAACTATTTGCCCTGGCTGGCTTTGAATCACAATCCTTCTGATCTCTGCCTTCTGAGTAGCTGGGATTACAGGCGTGAGCCACCAGCACCTGGAAGAATTGTCTTTTATAACACTTTCCCTTATTTAATAATTCTTCAACTAACACATGCCACAGCAGTCACAACATTTTCTGAGCGTCATTGTGGTTAGGGGTTCTTTAAAATAAATATTTTTCCTTTGAGGAAAATAGAATTTAAAATGCTAGCAAAGGTAATGGGATTTAAAATGAATATAGAAAGGGTGTCATAGATTGAAGAGATACATATAACTTGAATTGGCAAATTTCTGAGGTGGTAAATGAATTAAAGTTATTGTATTTTTTGGCAGATTTCAGTATCTAATAAAACTGATAATGAGTGTTTTTCCTCTCTAATAACCTTAATTTAAATTCATTTTCTCAAACAACTGCTTATGAATAGAATCAATGTATCTTGTAAACTAATTGCAAAAATTATTTTATATACTTCATGATTGGGGATAGACTTTTACCCAGTTTGTTCATATCTGTAAAATAAACTTGCTCCCCTTATAAAATTACAGTAATGCTTTTCCCTTAGCACTTTTGGAAATTTGTATATGTGTATATAATATGCTATATGCAGTATAAAAGATGCTGTTATATATTGTATGAATGTCTGTAAAGAACTTTCGTTTTGTGAATAGCACTTTACATTTGTAAGATAAGGATAATTTTTTAAAAAACAACTTTTTAAAGATACAATTCACATATCATACAATCGTGTATCTATTTAAAGTATATAATTCAGTAGCTTTTGTATAATCAAAGAGTTGTACAGCATCACTACAATCAGTTTTAGGATATTCTCATGTCCCCAGAAAATACCCCTTATACCTTAGCAGTTATTCCCCATTTCTACCCCACATCCCTCCCCCCAGTCCATAAGAAACTACTAACCCTTTTCTGGCTATATAGATTTTACTATTTAGAGCATCTCATATAAGTGTAATCATACCATATCTAGTTTTTAATGGCTGGCTCTAGTTTTTAAATATTTTCTTTTTTTGTAGCTCCTATTTGCATGTAGTTCCTCTTTCTCCTGGTTTCCATTTCTTTGTCTTTTTACTGTACTTTCTGGATAGATTCTCTTATAATCATTTAGCTGGATTATTTATTCCTGCTTTATAGATTTTAATTTCCATGAACTTTATTTTTAGCTACTTTATTGACATATGATTGACATTACAAAGAACCATATAAATTTAGTGTATACAACTTTATGAATTTGGAGATTAGTATATATATCCTTGAGACTACCACAGTCTATTCCACAAACATATCCATCACCCACAAAGCTTTCTTCCTGTCCTCTTTATTTGTTATCTGAAATAGTCAAACTCATGGAAGCAGAAGGTATGATGGTAGTTGACAGGGGCTGTGGGGTGGGAGCCACAGAGAGGCCATATGCAGAATGAGTAAGTCCTAGATATCCACTATATGAGTAGTATATATTACTAATACTCTTATGTTAAGTATTCGTCCATGAGCTCTTATGATTCTGTTCTTAAGTGATGTAGTTATCGTCCCTGAGGAGTTTAGTGATCTGCTTTGTTTGTTGTTTCTGTTTTTATCATTTCTTTTTAAAATTTGCGTTGGCTGCATTTTGTTTACCCAAAGGTGGTTTTCTTCTGTTTATTTTGGCTTCTTGTTTTCATATTAGACTTTCCTTGAGGCCCCATACTTTTTAGCTGCCTATTTATATTTCATAGAGAAAACCACAAAGATGATTTGAAAACTTGTATACATGGGTAAAGCTTACTGACTGTGATCTTCATTTTAGGGTGATCATAATATTTCATTAGATACCCCCACCCATTGAGTTTTTAGTCTTTCCTCTTGGATTGCTCATGTATCCAAAAGATGATTCAATTCTCCTATCTGACTTCTAATATTCCGGAAATTATCTAGGGGAAGGAAGCTAACTGGCCTCAATATTGCACTTGCACTTACATTCACTGATAGCTCAGAACTCCAGCCCTCACTTCTGTTTTGTACCCAGGGCCAGAGACACCTTGTTTTACCCTCATCAGAGAATAATCCTCTAATCTTCTGGCTAGAAGCACAATCGTTTGCCTGAGTAAAATAAAGGACCTGGAGGCCCAACTGCTTCTCCAGCAGGCTTTCGGCCTGTCTTCCTATTCTGACTTCATTTCACCTCCACTGCTCTCTGAAGCCCCTTGGGACACTTGGAGTATAAACTTGGTTGCTTCTGGGCTTTCTGTGTTGTTTTTCTTAGCTTCCTCAGCAGATGAGAGATTAAAGTCTGTTACCAATTGTTCATATGCTTTCTTGATTTCAGATTTAATTACTGTTGTCTTTTCTCCCCAATATTAGTACTTTTGATTTAAACTATTTAAAAAAAATCTCTTTATTCTCATGTGGCGGAATTTCAGAAAATATTGAAAGTAAATGCTTACGTCCAATTCACCATCCTCAATAAAAAGAATTCTATTTTTACTCTCAAAGTCCTCACAGCTTTCTTCAACCTTCACTATAACTCTCTCTTAATTTGATTTTAAAATATACTGGATGCTGTCTTAACTGACCTTCACACAAGTGGCATGCCAGATTAATGAATGCTGTCTCTTCCCTCTAAAATACATCATGGATGCCTGTTGCAAGAACAGAACTCTACTTTTCATTATACTCCCCCCTCTGTACAGGGACAGGGGTATGCAGGACCCTCACAGATACCAAAGTCTGAGGATGCTCATGTCTCTTATATAAAATCACCTAATACTTGCATATAACTTGCTCACATTCTCTTGTATACTTTAAATAACTGGTAGATTGCTTATACAATGTAAATACTTGTTATACTGTATTGTTTAGGGAATAATGACAAGAAAAGAAATTCTGTGTATGTTCAAGTACAGAAACAATTTTTTTCCTGACATTTTGTGGAGGGTCAACTGTTTTTCTGTACACTTCTCTCATAGGTTGAGTTGTGTGAGTCAGTTTATTCCACTTTAAAAAAATAGAAGCTGGAAGTAGAAGATAGGTTTTGGATATAGTTATGTAGGAAAGGTTAAGGAACTCTAATGAGTTATGTCAAAAGAATGAGTACACAGTTTTGATTTAAAGCAGAGTTTATGGTGTGTGAGTATGATCTTTATAATTCTCTGCTTTAACAACTTTCTCCATTAAATGAACAGCTCCTGGCCCTGAATGTATTGAGTAGCAGTTTGTTTTAAAATAGTATGGAAACTTCATTATATTCTATGGATCGAATGACTGCCATGATTGCCATATTGTGTTTTGCGCTGTTCCCATATTTACTAAGATAACTGTTTCTCTTCAGTTCCAGATGTTGAAGTGAAAGGAGAGCATTCTAGCTATTATCTCCTGTTACAAGGCAGTGGCAATAGGAAGTGCAAAGCCACATTGATTCACTCGGCCAACCAGATCAATGGCTCATTTGCACTCAGTTTAATTCATGGAAAGATGAAAATAAATAAAGAAGAAGCCAAATTGAGTAAGTGCTAACTTAGGAAAATCCTGTTTCTACATTTATTTGGATGTATAGTTAACTTAGGTGTTTTTAAGTAGAAGAAATACTAGATATTTAATGAATTTATTTTCCCCAAATTGTCATTAGTTTACCTTTTATGTTAAACATGGTAATATCTGTACAATTTAAAGAAAATTAATCCCTTTTATATTATACATAGTAAAATTTAGTAGATCAGCTCCAGATATGAAGTTTTCAGTATTTTCTGTTTTAACCACATATTATTTTTCTATATTATTTTTTCTTTTCATTTACTTTCTCTCAAGTCTGTTCTCTTTTACTGCTATTTTCCTCTTTTCTCTCCAACTTCTATATTTTTATTATCCATTATGGCATGACAAAATACCCCAGATATTTAGCATCAAAACAACCTATTATTATTTCTCATGGCCTTGTGTGTTGAATGGGCTCAGCTGCATGTTTGTTTTGAGTTCCTAATGTAATTATAGTCACATATGGTTGGTGCTCCAATCATTGGGAGATTCCACAGGGATAGTGTCTGGGATGACTTCTTCGACTTCATGTTTGGTGCCTGGGATGGGATGACTGAAACAGAGGAAGCTGGTTTTCTCTCCACTTTCCTTTTCCTGAAGCCACCTTGGGTGTCCTCATGGCCTGGTGATCTCAACATAGTCTGACCTCTTGAATGGTTGCTGACTTTTCTTGGAGCAGTTGTTCTAAAATGCTAAGGCTTCCTATAACCTGGTCTAGAAGTCATTCAGTATCAATTTTACTATACCTTATTGGTTACATAGTATGAAGTGGTTTCACTAATTATCAGTTCCAAGGGAAGAAAATAGTAAAGATCACCATGACAGCCACTGGGACCGGGAGTACAAATACTTCTGCCCCTGCTTCCTGAGCTATTGTTTATGTCCACCATGTACTGATTAACCATTTGTCTAAGTCCAATGAAACAGAGTGTACTTATTTACAGCAAGTTATGTGAGGTGGGCTTATTACTCACAGGTAGGCAGCAAAGGGACAGAAAAGGCTTAGTTTTCATTGTGATCTAGACTTAAGAAAGTTGTGCAGGGCAGATGGAGTCTGAACTACATGTACCCTTCTTGTATAATAGGTGAGGGATCCTGGAAGGCAGCACACTCTGGCTTACCTGCTTCAGGAGCCATGTGATTCACTGGGCAAAGCTTTGAATGACATCTGCTTGAAGGACATCCCAGTTAAGGGGAGAGAGGAGCAAAGCCTGACTGTCCTGGGTACTTCCTATCTCAAGCTAGCACATCCTGTAATCATCTATTGTATGAAAACAGAGAAGGGAAAGAGACTGTCCTGGGACCATTTTGTATAGGTTAAACTTGGTTTCATTGTGCAAGAGACTGCACAAGGGGAATAAAAAGGGATGTGGTTTATTGAGCAGTAGAATTGGGGTTCTGTCTTTAGAGACAGGTACTACACTCCATCTGCGTTTTCTGAGTAGAGAGAAAAAAATATTATATAGGGAATACAGCTCTAATGCCCAGATTTCCCCCCAAAGAATTAAGAATGATGTGAACGTTTAAAATGCAAAACAATTTGGTATTATTTTCTCCTGCTTGTCACTTTGAAATATATAAGATCAAGACTTTTTAAAATCATGTCATAACATACTTCCTAGGAAGTAAGTATTGTTACCATAGAATATCTTTAATGTTGACTTTTTTTCTATTTCTCAGGCTTTCCTTTTGATTTCTCACTTCTGTGTTTTACTGGAGAGCAGGTTTTACAAAGAGAAAAACAGTTAGCTAATGTTCAAGTTTTGGCTTTGAAAGAATGCCTGAGTAAGTAACAATTGATACATTTCAGTCTATTGAAAGCATGTTGATTTGTTCAGATATAAGCCATCTTGATTTGCATACTTGTTCTTACACACTTTGTCCTTTGGTCTGACAGTAATTTTTAGAATTATTCACCCCACAGATGATGTGAGGTAGAAGAGGCCTGTGACTTTATTTTCACTGGGTTCAGAGTATTCCTGATTATTTGTACATCACTGTTAACATTTTAAAGTATATTTTGTCAGGCAAGTTTGTATTTCAGAATTTGTTTATGTTTAACTCTATGTTAGAAAAGATATAGGATTGTTATTATTCTACTTAATGTATATAACCTTTACATATTTTTGGTAGCAGGAAGAAATGCAAGTCCACAGAAATTAATATGCTAATTTGAACATTGATTCTTGGAGCTTAACCATGAGCATCAGTAATAACTGAGCACATGTCACATACCAAGTGAAGTTGGCATTATGGATTTTCCTTAATCCAGAAGTTAGCTCTGTTTTTTTAGAAGTGGGTTTCATTATGCTGTTTTCATGCATACATAAAAAGTACTTCAGTCATACTCATGCTGCTCTCACCTTGTCCTTTCCCTGTCCCCTCTCCCACTGGCCCCCGCCTAAAACAGTCTTCCTTTTATAGTCATGTCATGATATTGTTAATATTGTCATTAGATTTAGATTCCACACATGAGATACCTGTTTTTCTGAGTTTGACTTACTTGCCTCAACAATGATATCCAGTTCCATCCATTTTCTTGAAAATGACATAATTTCATTCTTCTTTATGGCTCTGTAATATTCATTACATATATATATATGTGTATATATATATATATATATATATATATATAATTTTCTTTATCCATTCATCTGTTGATAGGCACCTAGACTGATTCCATAGGGTGGCAATTTTGAACAGTGTTGCTATAAACACAGGTGTGCAGGTATTTCTGTTGTATGCTGACATTACATGTATGTATTCCTTCTGATGTGTACCCAGGAGTAGTATAGCCGGATCATATGGTAAGTATATTTTTAGTTATTTAAGGAACTCCATACTGATTTGCAAAGGGGCTGGACTGTTTTGCATGTCCCCCAGCTGTGTGTGAGGGTTCCTTTCCCATATCCTTGCAACATCTGTTGTTGTTTACTTGATGACAGCCATTCTGACTGGGGTAAGAGAGGACCTCAGTGTGATCTTGATTTGCATTTCCTTTATGGTTAAGGATAGTGAATATTTCTTCATGTGTTTACTAGCCTTTTGTACTTTTTTATTTTGAGAACTATCTATTCAGTGCATTTGCATATTTGTTAATTGTATTATTTGTTCTTTACTATTTAATTTTTGGAGCTTTTTATATATTATGAATATTAATCCCATGTCAAATGAATAGCTGGCAATGATTTTGTTCCATTCTATGGGTTGCCTTTTCATTCTGGTAATTATTTCCTTTGCTATGAGAAGCTTTTTAACTTGATGCAATACTATTTGTCAGTTCTTGCTTCTATATGCCTGAGCAATTGGAGTCATATTAAGTAAGTTCTCTCCTATGCCTGTTTCTTCAAGTGTTTTCCCCAAGTAGCTTCAATGATCTGAGATGTTTGATGCATTTTGTATTGATTTTTGTATAGGATAAGAGCTAGGGTTCTGATTTCAATCTTCTACATGTGGATGTCCATTTGTCCCAGCACCATTTGTTGAAGAAGCTGTCTTTTCTCCAACATATGTTTTTGGCTTTTTTGTTGAAAATCAGATGGTTGTCATTGTGTCAGTTTATTTCTGGGTCTTCTATATCATTGGTCTATGTGTCTGTTTTTTACCAGTACCATGCTGTTTTTGCTACTATGGCTCTGTAATATAACTTAATGTCAGATATTGTGATACCTCCAGTATTGCTGTTTTAGTCTTTCAGTTGAGGTATTTTCAGAGTTCAGGCAGGACTGTGTTGGTGACAAGATTGAGTTGTAGCTTTTCACTTCCAGACTGGGAATATAGTTTAGTAGCCAAACATTTGACCATGTGCTGAGAGCACTGGGCCTCATCTCCAGCACTACTCAACTGGAGGAAATCTGGCTGGAGTCCCTGTAATACCTAGTGTACAGGTCATTTCTATATGTAAGTAGAAGAGAGGGTCAGCCAAGGGTTCCTTTTCTGCTTCTGAGATACTTTTGCTTAGAAACTTTCCTTCCTGGTGTACTGAAAGCTGCTGCTGTTTGCAGGGAGCTTTGTAGCCTTTTGGGCCATGTAGGTTCCCAATTGCTCCACAGCCAGTGAGTCTGTGCCCTCAGGAATAGCAAGCATCCAAGCCTAGGGGTGTCCCCCAAATGCATTGAGGAGTAGGGGAAACAAACAGCTGTTCATTTTGCCCTGGCAGAGTACAACTGAGGGACTCAGTCACTCAGGCTGCCACACTCAGTGGTTTCAGACCCTGCCTAACAGGTTGCCATCCTGTGGGAGGGAGGAGGCTAGCAGTAATGTCAGGATCCACAGATTCTGGGCTTAGAGCCCTCAATTCCACCTGGCAACAGACACAGGCAGCTGGGATGCAGCTCCAGGAGGAAGCCAGTTTCAGTGCTTTCAGGTATCACCCAGCAGTTCCCCACACTGTGAGGGGAAGGAGATTGGGGAAATCAGTGATTTGCTGTACTTGGGCTCAGAGCTTTCATTCCTGCCTGACAGCAAACACATGTGGAGGGGGCACAGCTCCGAGATTGAGTACTGTACCAGCCAGGGGCTTGGTACTGTTTTCACTATGATCCTGGAGATGGAATTTGATCCTCACAACTGAGGATGGGTCATTGATTATGGCACCTTTCACTACCTGAGCTCCCTGGTGTGTAAATTTCCCAGTAAGTCCACATCAAACCCTTTCCCTCTCCTCCACCACCTCTCATATGTGTCTCCTCCCCTTGCCATCCTGACACTGGCACGTTTCCCAAGTCTCCCACACTGTGACTGTTCCTTGTTTTCAAGTACCCAGAGTAGCTCTGTCTCAATAATAGACCTCTCAAGATTGTGCCTCACTATAGAGCTCTCTAAGATGAGTGACAAAATGTTTTTCTTTTTTGAAGCTAGCCTGTCATATAGGAGCAATCACTGTCACACCAAATCCCCACAGTGGTTTTAAGGTATGTGGACCATGTGGACTTATCCTGCTCCTGGAATTGCCAGTCTGTCACCAGAACTGTCTGGTTAACCTTGTCTTTGTGTCTTCAGCTTCCTGTTCCCCGACCCCAGGGAGCTGGGGTAGGAGTTGGAGACTTTTTCCTACTTCTCTCTGTTGCCTTTCTGTTTCTCCATGCTTTCAGTTGTCTGGTCAGTCACCTTTCTTGATTTGCAATGTTCTTCCTCTTTCTGTTTTTCAGATATAGTCTCTTCTTTGTTTCTCTTACTCTTCTAATTCACAGAGGACTCTTCTAATCTGCCATCTTGCCCATCTCTTCAAAATTAACACTTTTTTCAGCAATTGCAATTAGAGGGTTTTCCTTTATTATTAAATGGTAACTTGGTTATCAGTCCTAATTTTTAAAAGAATTTTAAGCATGGGCTTGGTATGATGGCTTAATCCCAGCTACTCAGGAGGCCAGCCTTGGCAAAAATTTAGTGAGACCCCATCTCAGCCAATATGCTGGGTGTGGTGGTGCTCATTCTGGTCCCAGCTACATGGAAAGCTGTAGATAGGAGGATCCTGGTATAAGACTGGCCTGGGGCAAAAAAAAAAAAATCACAAAACCCTACTTGAAAAATAACTAATGCATAAAAGGGCTGGTGGTATGGTTCCAGTGTTAGAGGGCCCGCTTTGCAAGTTCAGTGCCCTTAGTTCAAACCCCAGTACTACCCTAAAAAGAAAAAAATTAAGCATGGATTATTGCAAATTGTAAGCTTATTTTAAGCAAACCATTGATACATAATTTCTGAGAAATTTATTAAAATTATAAGACCTCCTTAGTTGCATATAGAATTGCTTATATTATAAAAATAATTATCATTCTTTTGTTTAAAAACATTTAAAAATATCTTGGTTTCTGTAGTCTATTTATTCAATAGAAAACAACTTTAAAATACTTTGTCTCAGTCATATAAGGATTGAAGACTTTTTCAGTTGTATAAAGCCAGGGTAATTGTGTATTCTTGTTTTTTTTTTTTTAGCCATGAAAATTAAGTTTGTTCAAGAAAAATATAATTAGAAAGGCAAATCAGTACATGCTAAATCCTAGAAAAAATATGTTGAAGTACCAGTATTTTTGTGGATTTAAAGTGTTTATTTCAAACACTAGCCAGCAATATTATTCACTTTTTGACTTTTTTCTATTGCTGCCAAACATCCTTCAGGCCCTGATTTCTTTGCCTGAGCCTCCTGCAGCTTTTTATACTTAGCTCCTTCCTTCAGCATCTCTGTCTTCCATCTTCGCTGCTCTTCAACACCCGCCCAACAGCAAACACTGAGAGTGGAAGAGCTGGGAGCTCTCTGAGCTGGTGTGTGTCTCCTTCAGTAAAGAGAAGAGTGAACCCCAGTAGGGCCAGCCCTCTGGGTTGTGGGGGAAGGGAAATATTGACAGCTATAGCTAGTTTGCTGCCTAGGGTGCGAGTGACAGTTTCACAGAGGTGGGGGATGGGGTTTGGGGGGTCAGGAAAGGTTTAGAAGTGTTAACAAATGTGCAGCTGCAAGGGTGCCATAGCACTGGGAAAAGGACAAAGGGAGCCTGAAATTGAACGCCTCAGCACTAATGGCAGCTGGGGATGGATACCAGCTCTGGTAGTGTCATTGGTCACTTGGCAATCAGAGGCATTAAATCTTGGTACAGATTAATGAATACATAGTTAATCCATTTATGATGAAAATACTTGCTAAGGAAATCTCTTTTCTATCCTGGATTAAAGTTTAGTAACAAAGATGCATCTGTGTAGAGGAAAATGACAGCAAAACAAAATTTGCAACATTAGCATGTCTGAGAATCTCCTTCAGCAATTTTCAAATATGCGATAGGTTGAGTGGAGGTGTGTTTAAATTGATACCGTTATTCATTTATACATGATGAAAACTAAAACAGTGTAATGGGAACAGCTTCACAGAAAAACAAAACTTGTTCAAAAAGATTTCCTCAAAATTACCAACAAAACATTGAATAAACCTTACTTATTTCCATTGTTTCCCTGACTGGTTACAAGGTAGAACAGCTAGAAAAGTTTCCACGCACAAAAAAATTAAGTACTTATAATGACATTATTGATGAAGTCGCTTTTTAAAAGTAACATAAATATCTTAACTTTTAAAACAAATTGATATTTTACCTTATTTCAAGGTATATCTAATGCTATTATTTTAGAATGATGATATATAAACTTTATGATTTTATCATTTATATCTCACTTAATTTTTGTAACTTGTAACTTTTGTCCTAGAAACAATATGTAATGTCTTGTTTCAGGGATTTAAGAAAAAAGCTTAAAAATTCTGAGCACTTTTTAAATAAGAGACTCTGCAGTAAGATGTAAAATAAGCATCACGACAGCAGTACAACCATTTTGCTGCAGGGTTACAGTCAGTACCCTGGGCTACTTACTTTTCTTTAACACTTACAAAGCCCACTACAAACTCTTGTGAGGCTCAGTCTATTGATGCCTTCAGGTAGTCGATATTTCTCTTTAATAAAGTTTCTTATTGCTAGCTTTCTTAGGAATATAGCATTCTTTTGCTTACTTGATTTTAGAGTTTAGCCTATTATTTTCTCCCAAATATCTATCTCCTGCTTACACACAAACTTACCTTGCAGAGATTGTTTATTCCCCTTGTAAATTATCCTATTCATAGCTTTATCATCATCTAATTCTCTTCTCTATTTCTCAGTCATTAAGGTCAGTATGAATTCTTACCCTGCCCCCCAAAATGTAATATAATTGACAGTTTTAACAAGCAGAGGTCAACCTTGGTTTTGGCATTAATAAAAATATCGGGGCTAATTCCTGAAGCACATTACTCACTGTGCATCTTGCCTATGAAGGAAAACCATTGATAACTTTTTGCTTTAGAATGACTTCCAGTAGATTGTAGAGAAAGTAAAAAAACAACAAAGCTTTTTATTTTCTCACTAAGAAGATATAAGAAAAACAGAATATAGTGCACTCTGATTTTACCATTATTAATACTCTTGTGTTAAACCTGGAAGGACCTTGCCAATACCCATTGATGGGGTAGGGTTTTACAGAGGCGTGTGTCATAAAGCTGGTGTTCTAAAGTAGAACCTTGGGACTTGTTGCCTCCTTCTCAGTTGACTGCCTTGTGTTATTAATGCATGGACCTTGCGTGACGTGATACAATTATGTAATACGCTTGAATCCTCTCAGGGCACAGCTTAGTGCTATGCAGGTGGTAAATTCTCAATAAATGTTTATTGAATTTATTTTACTGTGGAAGAAAATGTTGTTAGAAGGGTTCTTAAGTGAAATATTTTTATTAAAGTGATACATAGATATAGCTTGAAAAGTCAGATGATACTGAAAAACTTCAAATGGCTATACCCTTCCTCTTCCTCATCTTTTAGCTTCTGTGTCTGCCAGCAGCTACCCTCAGCCCTTCCAGTTCTGTCACTTTTTCCTATTTTTATTTATTTATTTTTTTGCAGTACTGGGGTATGAACTCAGGGCTTTGCACTTGCTAAGCAATCTCTCTACCACTTGAGCCACACCTCCAGCATTTTTTTCCTATTTTTAAATAATGTGTATATGCTGCCTTTTGGTTTACCAGTTTTAGGCGTTATCTTAACATGTGGTAGATAAAGACATCATTTTCAAGTCATATTCACTTTCCTTCTCCCTTTTATAGTGAAGTCATAAATTTTGGTTACTTTTAATGTTATTGTAACCATGCTAATAAGTTTACCACTGAGCAATGTAACACATGATGATGATCCAATCATTGTAATTTTAATTTGCCTACTCTATGGTACAGAGAAAAAAACTCCTTTTGAATAAAAGTTCATGAGGTATAAATTTTAATTCTTGCATGTCCCACAGTATCTTTACTTGGTTGATAATTCGTGTAGAATTTGAGGTTGAAAATCATTTGCCATCTGCTTTGTTGTGATCCTTTTGAGAAATTTCTTATCCTTTGCAGTGATCTTGCTTTAGCTTATTTGTTTTTATCCTCTTCCTGAAAGCTTTGTCTCTGGAACCTTTACTCTGAATCTCCCACCCTTCCCCTCTCACCCCAGTTGTTGAGCTGCCTACTTGATGGGTATTTTGATAGAAGATTCATATCCTTAAGTCTGAAAATTTTTCTTCACTTATCTCTTTAATAACTTCCTTTCTCCCAATTTCTCATTTTCTTTCTAGGACTCTTATTAGTTGTATATTGCCTTTCCTGTAGCAAATGCTTAGTTTTCTTTTCCTATTTCCATATTATCTTTCTGTTCTTGTTTTTGCTGGACATCTTCCATTTCATTTTACAGCGCCTTCATGGAGTTTTTGAAATTTTAGCTCTCAACTGCTTAACCATAGGAGTCCATTTTTGTTCTGGATTGTCCTTTATCAAAGCATCCTGTTCTTTCCCAGTGACTTGTCTCATTTCTATGAGAATATTAATTTTGTTCTCTATTATTTTTGTTTCTGCTAAGCTCTTCTTTTTTCCTCACTTTGTTTGCTTTAAATCTTTTTTATACCCTGGACTTTTTTTTAGTTTACAAATGCCCAGTAATACCTTCTTTTCCTCCCAAAGTTGGAACCCATTTAGAAATAAGCTGAAAAAGCAAACAGAGATAGGTTGAAGATGAAGTGTTATGGTGTTTTAGTGTTTTAGGTCTATAGCCAGCTGGCGTTCTGCTCATACGTATACCTAGAACTGAACATAGCTGTCAGACAGCTGCCAGAGCTAGGCAATTACAGAACAACCCTGTTGGGGGTGGTCCCTTGCATCCTAAAGACAAGTGGGCTATGGTGAAAGTCAGAGGAACAGTTGATCAAAGTACGGGAGTGGGGGTGTGTGTGTGGCGGGGAGAATGGCCAGAAGTGTGGTTGTAAGCTATGACCCTTTCTTCCCCCTCCAAATCAGCATCTGGAGCTCTTTTCTCTGAGAGAGTTCAGTTTTTCAAAAGGAGAGTCTTATTTCGTCAGTGGAGCATTTATATAGCTGCTAGCTTTTTGGTGGCAGGCCTTGTAGTCTGACCTTTCTGTACTCTATAGACTTAAAAAAAAATCCTTTAGATATAATCCAAGCTTCAAAGCTACCTTCCAGCATACCCAATATTCCATTGTCTGGGACTATTTCAAAACAAAGCAAAACAACAACAAAAAAAAACAAAGCAGAATTGCCTGGCTCTGTGGACTGAGGATGAGGCATGACAGGGAAGACCTGGAGTTCTGACTACTTACTCCCCATGTGTCCAGTCCTGTTTCAGGCCAGCATTTCGCCACCATCTGCCTTGGCAGTGCTTCTATGAAGGCACCCAAGGTGACCACCATCATTTCCTTCACAATTTGGTCAGAAATATCTTTTTTTTTTCCTGTTATTGTCCTGTTTTATTCCTTTGCTGTGATTTTAGGTTTGGGGAAAGACAAGAAATAAAATGGTCGTGCTGCTATGTCTAATGGAAAGTCTAACAGGTTTTAGTTTCATGTAAATGTCAACATAAGCCCATTTTTAATGCTCTCCAATATATTACTGAAAACTTTTATAAATTCGTCTTTGTTGTTTATTAACTTTTAGTATGAACCAATTGCCCTGTTTCTTCTCATCTCACATAATGGGAAATTCTGCCATTATCTACAGATAAGATTTAAATTAAAGCATGGCTACATACAAATGTTGATTGGCTGGAGAAATTCACTCATTTTCCTTTTGAAAATACTTTCCATAAAACTATAGTAGTTGAGCTCTAGAGAGGCTTGAAAAAAAAGTCATATGGTTAATTGTATTGATTTGTCCTGCAGAAAGGAGAAAGTTGGCAAAACAGCCTGAAGCACTTTCTGCTGAGGAACTCAAAAGTCTGTTAATACTCACAAGGGAGCGCTTTTTAGATCGTTTTGATGCTCTTATTCCTAAAACAACTCTCAGACACACAGACAAAATTAAAGCCTCCTGTATGTTAAATGGTAAGTATTTAAATTTTGCTCTTTTTGTGTGTATATCATCTATGGTGCTACTGTTTATTATATTAGTAAAACTTACCGAAGATGTATTTGTCAAGTCAAAATGTATTTTATAAAATTAAATAATGATAAATATATATATATATATATATATATATATATATATATATATATACCTGTGTGTATATATATCTGAGTTGTACTTCTCATTTAAACTTTTTGATTATGTCTTTAAGTATGTTTAGTAAAATTGTTTATATGAAGAGGGAGAAGCTCTGTCAGGTAGCCCTTCTTATTAGTCTTAACTAACCTAGAATGGGTGGATTTCTATTAAGCTAGCTTTTCAGAAAGTGAAGAAAGTAAAATCTATGCAGTGAATTTAATAGAGGCAAAACTAAATTACAGGAAGCTTCAAATTTGCCACTCCTTGGGGCTGGAGCAGTCATCAAACTTCACCAAGGAAACACACTCATTTTGTATTTAATTGAATTTTTCTGTTTTCCTGAATTCTTTTGTTGTGATGAATTTGAATAGAGTGAAGCTTTTTAATATCTAATAAAGAGCATTTGAAGATCACTTACACAATGTTAAATGTGGAGGACAATTGTTCTTGGTTTTATTCTGTGAGAAAAACTTTTTTTCCATAGATTAATGAAAAAAATGATCACAGAATCAAATTAGCACTAATGTCTGAGTGCCGTTTCTTTGACACTGTGAAGGTACACAAAGAAATGAAAGTTGTGGGCCTTGGCTTTCAACAGCATTAGTCTATTTGTAAAGCAAGGTCTAAAAGAGCATATAGTGCCATGTTTAAAAGCTCAGACTCCCTGGTTAGGTTCAAGTCTCAGTGTTGTCACTTACTAGCAGAATGTCTAGACAAATTACTTAAGCTCTACACCTCTGTGTGCTCATGTTTGAATGGGAGTAATAATACAACCCACTTTCTAGGATTATTTGTAGGTTTACTAGGGTGAGGATTAAATGAGTTGATATATGTGCTTAGAATGCAGTAAGAGCCAAAGTGTGTTGGCTGACATTTGTATTGTCAATATCATTGCTTCCTATCAGTACCAAGGTTAAGTAGCAGGACAGAGTAACCTGAAGGGTGCTGGCGACGTATTGCATTACTTTTAAATGGGGGATGTGTTCCATAATGCGAAATCATGGCTTCACAGTTGCAGTGTGGGTCCCTGAGCGAGACTAGCAAGGCTAAATGATGGCTCTGCACTTACGTGCTATGGAACATGGGTACATTTTCTGACCTCTTTGAATTTCATTTTCTTTACTTTTGAATTAGGTATGACCTAGCTTGTTGCATTAAATTAATTATTTGTCAGTTGCTTAGAAAGTTGCCTGGTGTGAAACAAGTGCTATATATTTTTGGTTGAATAGATAAACGTGAATTTAGAGTTGAGGACTATACCCTAGGGTACAGTAGTCACAGAAGGCTTGGTAGGAGCTGAGGGTTGTGACTGATGCTAAAGGATCTGGAGAAAGGAGAGAAGATAGGATTTTGGAAAATCCATGGAAGGAGAAGCAACCTGTCCAGTCATGGAAACTTGAGGTAGGGAGAGACGTTGACTCACCAGAGGATTTGCATATGAGGTAAGTAAGGTTTGAAGAGTAGGAGAAGCTTGAGTAATTGCCAGAGCTTTTATGTAAGTTTAGTGAGTGAATCTTAGCGTTACCTGTGCAAAATCAGGTCCTGGATGGTGTTGAAACAGTGTAAGATGAGATGTGCTCATCTTACAGTGTAAGTCAGGGTATGTCACTGCTTTGCTCAAAGTTGTTTGACTGTTTCTGATTGCACATAGACCACATCATCCTTAATGTGGCCTGTAATTCTCTTAAACTGTACCTGGCCTTTTATTCATTCTAGTCTTCCAAAGTCACATTTCTGTTTCCTTAGACCACACATGGACTTCCCATTCCTTGAACATGTCACATTCCTTTCCAACTCAGGAACTTTGCATGTGCAGTGTCCTCTGCCTGGAATCCTTTTCTCCCAGCTTATACCTGATAGTCACTCCTCTCACGCCCATCTGGATGTCATTTTCCCAGAGACACTTTCCCAGACCTTGCTGAATTTCAATTGTTTCCCACTGTACTTCTTCCCTACGTTTTTTTCTTCAAATAATGTGTCAAGTTTTAAAATTTTGTATTATTTATATAATTTAATTAATTATATTAAATATTTGTCTTCTCTCTAAATACTATGTTCTCTGAGCATGAAGTGCATACCTACTTGCTCTCTCCAGAATCCACAGAGCCTGGTACAGTGCCTGCATGTACCAAAATGCTTGATGAGCAAATGAAAGAAACTGACTGCTCTTAGAACTTGAAATGAAACTTGACAGTCTATACATTTGTGCATGATTCCTTAAAGTAAAGTTGTGGTTTTTAACACCCTGTAGCTTTGATTGGAATAAATACATGTACATGTAAATTACGTGTAGACACAAATAAGGCCATCATTTTTCATGTTCTGAGCCATTGTTTGTAACCATGCACATAAGGAGTTACTAGCAATTGGTAAGGTCATTTGATCTGCTTGTGTTTTGGTAGAAACTCTAGCGTATATAACAAGTGACAAGTCATGATGCAGAAAATGCCTTATTGAACCCTCTTACTCACTCATTGTTACGAAGTTGTTAAAGACTTCCACAGTGTCAAATACGATATTAGCTCATAATATAATTCCTGTCTCCTTTATCTAGGACCATTGGAACACATAAAAACATTGCATAAATGAGTTTGTTAGGTGATTGTATAAACTTATAATTGTATCATTTCAAACATTTAAAAATGAATCTTTGGCCAGGCATGGCGGTGCATGCTTGTATTCTCATTACTGATGAGGCTGAGGCGGGAGGACAGAGTTTGAGGCCAGCCTGAGCTACATGGTGAGAACCTGTCCTCAAAACAAAAACAAAATCAACAAACAAAAATCAGCAACAAATAAAATGAATCTTCTGGTATATTCTTACAATTCTTGCTTTACTAAACAGATTACACCAATTATAATATGATCTTTTCCTTATGATTCATTAGTTATATAAGATTATTATGACATCTTCAATAAGCATACACTGTCATTGGGGTGTTACTTTCGTTTGTTTGTTGAGACCTAAGATTTTATATGTCAGTTTCCCCTATTTTTTCTATTGTATTGGTTCTATTTCTTTGTTTCTCCTGTAAAATAACATACTTTTTTTTTTAAACAGTTTTCTTTGTTTTCCAAAGAGGCTTTTTGTATCTTTCAGTTTTCGGTATGGTACATTGTCCTAACACATAAATAAAATATTATATTTTATTTTACTGCAGGAATTCCATTGTTATTCCCAAGAGACATGACATTTATGAATGTGTATTCACCCATTCTTAAATATTTAGCCTATGTCATTCATATTTATGTAGGTGATATTGTCAGTTAATAATTAATTATAATGTAATAGTTAGGGACAGTTTTAATGTTTACCTTTTAAAGATGGCTTGTGTTCTCATGAACTTAAAGCATGCAACTGTGCAGAAAACTTCTATTCATTTTTTTCTTTATACTTCTAGTACAGAGCATATCTCTATTAAGAAGCATTATTTCATTATAAAATAATGAAAGCTCATTACTCTATAAAATGATATTTTACCATCCCTATTAAGAAATGGGCAGTGTGGTAGATTTGGATAGTGTTTGGCAAGGGCAGTCTAATTATAGGTATTGAAAATATTTTGAAATATCCAAAGTTAAACAGTTTAAAGAGAAAGTGATATGCAGTTGGCTTCAATTGTCATGTTTTTAAAACAAAATTTTATTTAAAAATCCCTTTACCAAATCATTATTATGACTCCCCCAAAACATAAAATGTGCATTTCTGTCAGTGTTGATGGTTAAACAGCTAATGTCCAACAATTGTTAGTGATTTATTAGAACAGGGTGTATTAGTTCAAAGTTCTTTTTAAAACCAGATAGCTTTAGAATTCAACAAAGTTGTATAGTGAGCAGTTTTGCCAAGTGGTAAAGCAGTTTGGCTTGCTAATTGTCTCTAATGAGAAAGGGAAGCGCGGTCCCTTTGGGTTCTGTTGAGTTCCAGTGTTAGGATCAATCTTGATGTAACTCACTGCAACATACTGGCTGGAAAGGTAAACATACCCTTACATGGATTTTATTAGTGTCAAAATAATATTTAATATGAGTGACTTGAGGATGTATTTGTTAAAGCGTCTTACATTAAAAGACAAGTGAGAACCATTTCTAAAGGACCCTTTACCTGAAAACATCAGTTACTTATTGTTTTATTACTGTACTTTGTAACAATGTGGTAATCTCTTTTTTAAAGATATGCAATTTTTCTGTCTGGTTGTACTAATTACTCTTTCTAGTTTGAATGTCACATAGTTTATATAGTATGTTCTCTATGGACTTACTTTCTTCTCTTTTAGAGCTAATTTCACTAAAAATAGCAAAGCTGTGCTTTTATCATGTGAGTCCTGATACTGCTAATTCAGTTTTCTGAATTCTAGCTTATAACTTTTATTTTGAGGAGATACTTGATTTCTTTTTTTAAAACTCTAGAATCAGATTTTATTTATGTTTATATTATTGGTGAGTATGAAAAAAATCAATAGTTTGGAACTTCATAAATCATTCAAGCAAAAAATCAGTAAGATTGAGCAGACATCACTTATTAGCAGTTCTGTATGTTCTGCTTCCCCATTTCACTAGAGATGCTTGATTTCTGACACGTTTCTCATGGTGTCTCACAATTCAGGCCATCAGAGAGGTCTAATAGATACCTAAGATGAGTGCTCTATACCAAGCCAGCATATCTCACATGCACACACACAGATTTGTGAATGTGTCTGTCAGTGTTTTTGGTTTGGGTTTGGTTTTTCTGACAGAGGGTCTCACTATGTACTCTCTGTTGGCCTCAGTCACTGTGTAGCCCAGGCTGGCCTCCATCTTATGATCCTCCCACATCCCAAGTGCTGAGGTTGTATTCATACGCTGCCATGTCTGGTGTTAGGTATGCATATATGTCTGTGTGTGTATATATAAATAATATCTGTATAACATTTTATATAGCAAAATTCAGCATGCTAATACTTTTCAGTACTTATGTTTATTTTTTTTCTCTTTAGCTACCAGTCCGGTAGAGCCTGATTCTTCAAGTCAAAGGGAAATCAATCCCCTGGAATGGCCAGAAAGACATGTTATTCAAAATTTGGAAACTTTTGAAAAAGCTAGACAAAAAATGAGGTAATATTTGAGTAGTAATGCATGCTGTAGCTCAGTATTTTTAAATGGACTCTTTCTTAATCCTGCAATTATTTTATGCCTTAGAAATAGTTTGTAGTTTTATTATACAAGAAGTGTATGGTTTCTATGAATAGGTAATATTTATAATAGAGTAGTATATCAATGAAGATGGAAATGCTTATTTTCCTCTACCTTCTGTTTTTAGTTTCCAGGTGTATATAATCTCAGTGAACATTTTGTGTGTAGCTCTCCAGACCATCTTCTGTAGACATGCACACATATATGAATCTATAGAATAATCTTGATCCAGGAGCACGTAAAATGAAGTGGAAGCACTCTCCTCACCTGAGCCACTTTGACCTGTTTCTCCTTTCCAATGTGTGTTCACATTGAATATGCTATGTGAGAGAAGTACAGCAGGCTGTTTATCTTCATTTGTTTTGGTTTTGGCTTTTTTGCTTCAGTACATAGTAGACACTCCATGCATAATTGTTGAATGATGGAATAAGAACTCCTACATTGTACTCCTCCCAAATATTGCAAATCACATTTTTACTTTTAGGACATCTGTTGATACCATTTTATGACTTGCTGTAACTTTTTTCATATTTTCAATTAACCTCGATTGAGTACCAGCTGTCTGACACCAGGAAGATATGAGGAAGAACACAAGAAGAGAGGTGGCTCCTCTCTTTTTGGAGCTACCTTTCCCATGGGAAAGATGATGAAGCAAGTAGCCAGACAAGTGACTGCTGGGATGGGACATGGGTACACTGGGTCAGGCCCAGGGTTCTGTGTCTTCAGAGGGAAGTAAGTTCCTGTTTGTAACTTGGAGATAAAAAGCACAGGGTTAAGGATGGGTGTAAGAAGGTGATACTTACACCATTGTTCTATATATAGCTCTTAAAATTTATTGCTTTGGTATGTGCTCATTGCTACTCTAATCCCAAATTAGAATCTCACTGTAGCTTCCTGGGAAGTGAAGTGGACAACAGATTCCATTTTTAATTTTATTATTTTGTAGGTTTCTCCTTAGTTCATATTGAGGCACTTGCTGTAGTTCATCCTGTTTTGAAATTCATTGAACTCTGGTCCACTGTTTTTTCCTTCTTCCTTTTCTCAACCCTACTATGAATTTAATCAGCATTGTGATTTCAGTTTTGTTTGGTGAACAGTTTAATGTAGTATGTTTAATCTACTGTCTTTAACTAGAAATGTGTTAGTTATTCTAGGTCCAGGTCATATATCACCTGCTTTTAAAACCCTTTATAAACACTAAAACTCAAATTGCACTCCTTTAAACAACTAAGGGCTGTGTTATTACATTTTTCTTGAAACTTATCTTCTTATATCTCTTGCTATATTGGTATACTTATTTCCTCTCACTCTTCTTACCTACTTTCTGCTACTTTAAATGATACCTGAATAGTAAATTATGATCAGTGATTGTGGGCATATAAATTATAGTGGTGAACCTTTTATACTATATCCTAATGATAGTTAAAATTAAGTAATAAATACTCTTAGGCATTTCAAAAATGAGTAGAAATCATCAGCTGCTTGGTTGAGGGCAGAAGTTATGTTATATATTTTTAGAATGTTTTTGTGTTAAAAACATTTAACTAGAGAATAAAGGATCATTATATAGTGAGTCAGAAGTCATTAAGAATATGGCTTTTGACTTAGTTGGTCACCTGTTATGTGACTTTGTTGCCTCAACTGTAGGATGGGGATAAAAATCCTAGTTCTACTTCAAAGTTGTGAAATAATGAGAGAACACATGCAAAATACTTAGTAAGCTTGAAACACTAAATTAAATAAGGTATTGTCAGTGTTGTTAAATTATTTTTTAGCCTAAGACATATTTTGATTGGATAATTTATCACAAATAGGACTTTATATTGCTTTGATAGCCTCATGTTCATTCTATATAAATGCAAATTATGCACTTCCCCATTGTATATAGTCTATAAAGTGACTTACAGAGTAGTATTCATTAAGAAACCTTTGTAAGTCACTATTAGAGTGTGGCTATGTAGAAATTAAATTAAACTCATAATGCAGTTCCTGCCCACCTGGAGTATGAAGTTCAGAGAAAATACGTGACTATTTTTATTAGATTCATATTTTCAACTTAAAAGTAAAGGAAATAGGGGAAAGGGGCATTGTCAATATGTGAGTGATTCTTAATGTACAGAAATACAAGTCTAAAACCACAATATCAAAATTTAGCCATGTAGTTGTCAATAAATTTTCAGGAAATAATTAAATTAGTATAAAATTAGGAGATTAAATTTCTGAACAGGTATTGATTTCATGCTGTAGTGACAGAGCAGTGATTCAGTGCTTGATAAAACTTTAATCATCTGAAACTGAAGTACTTTCCTCTTCTAGTTTTTATAACTCTCTTGGAGTCTTTAGTTTATAGAGTGATAGAGCAGTAGGGCCTAATCTGGAGTTAATCTAGCTCTGGCTCATGTTAGTCACCGTTGTTACCCTCTGTCTGTTATGTGACCTACTGAGTGCTGGAATCTTAGCTGGAAGTGGCAGTCATGGTTGTTTTGTGTTTGGTATGCCGACCTTCACGCTCTAACGTGCTCATTATCAGGTGTGCTTCACTTTGAAGTAAGACCTATTCATCTTTTTTCAGGGAAATTTGTGAGGATTAAGAATAGATTGTGTGTAAAGTAGTTTGAAAAGTACAAAGTCCTACATTTATTTCAGATGTAATAACGATTCAAGGTGTATTCATACTGTCATAATCATGGCTGGAGGGGACCTTGGAGAGAATTCCGATTACTGTCTCATTTCATGGGTATGCTTTAAGTAATCTTTCAAATACATAGAAAATTGGAACATTCAGTCCCTGGCCTCAGAAATTAAATATTGTGAGGTTTCAAAACATACAAGAGTTTAGATTTAAATTTTGTGGAATTGCTAGTTTCACATTACTGAATTACTAATATGCCATCTTTTATAAATAATTATTTAAATAATAGAATTATTGACATGATAACTGCAAGTTTCAATGTGACCTATGAAGCTTTTGAAATACAGTTTGAAACTAAATGATTTGAAAGGACTTTACTTCATTGTCTTTCCTAAATGTGTAGTTCTTCAGTTTTCTTTGTGTGTTTTTCTGGGTTTTGCTCACATCATGTCTTGCTGACTATTGTGAATTTGAATGCACCTTTAATAAATCTCCATAACTTTTTTTTTTCCCCCAGAACTGGTTCTTTACCTAGTTCATCTGAACAGTTGCTGGGTCATAAAGAGGGTCCACGGGATTCAGTCACATTATTGGATGCTAAAGAATTGCTGAAACATTTCACCTCAGAAGGATTACCAGTGGGAGATCTTCAACCCTTACAGGTTCAGAAAGGGTGAGTCATAAACTTACAACTTTCAGTTAATTTTGAAAAATAATTTTTAAGTAATACCACATCTTATTTCCTTTTGCAATTGATGTCCTGTGCTACTTAGCCAAAATTAACAGGTTTGCTTCTACAGTTCTCAGTGGGTTTTAATCCTCATTTTCATTATTCAAATTTTCTATAGTTCTGCGGTAGGTACTGACTGTAAGGGAAGTAACAATAATATACTTTGTATACAAAGGGACAATAATTTTTTTTAATGTTACGTTTTGTCTTGGAAATGTATATATTTATATTTTTCTTTCCTGTGTTTACTCTCCAGTTTTTATTTTGCCACTACTTGGCCTGGTTATCATCATGCCTACTAATAGCACAAAGCCTTTCAGCTGAAGAGACACTTTAATTTTACTAAGTAATAATTCAGTGTTTGTCTGAATAATTTACAACTAAATTGACTTCTAGGAAAACTTCCACTCAGTTACTAGTTAATGAATGCTGGACGTCTCTGAAGTTGATGAAGGGATAGGTAAAATTGTGACATCAATTATTTGCGAAGATTGAGTAATTTACTCATTATCCCAATTTCTTTTTAATTGTTAATCCGTTATTTTGAAAGAACTGTAAAAATTATGTTTCTTTGATCACATTTACAAAGCTTTGAATTATACTGGATAAATATTGGCTTTAAAAGTGAAGTTTGTAAAGATTTTCTTTGAGTTAGATCTCAAAATATTGTTGGTGCATTATTGCCTTTTGTGTGTGTTCACTAGAGAGAGGGAGCAGCTTTCAAAATCTGTGGATCTTAACGCTGGGTCTTAATGACTTAATGATCTTAATGACATAAAAACTGTATAATTTTGGAGTAATTTTCCTTTTCATATAGCTTTGAAAGACTGATAACTCTTTTTAGTAGGAATTAAGAGAGAAAAGAAGCATCCAGATGTTCCTGTCTTTAGTTATTAGATTACAGTCCTTTCTAATCAATCATTAACCATGACCTGGTCTGCCAGGTCAGATGAGTGCGAAAACTGAATTTATTTTTCTAGAATAGAATCTTTGACTAGAATATTTCTAAATGAAGTGTAGGAGAGATATAGTTAATTTCTTTATGCCATTTATAGGTGATATATTTAAATACATTAATGTGATTCTTTGATACTTTAAATACTTTTATATGATTACTTCAATGCAGTAAGAACTGCATTGTTATTAAATGTGTCTTCTGTTAACATGAAAGTTGTAGGATGAGCTTTGTAGGCAATGACTCCAGAACATTCCTGCTCTCACAAAATGTCTACCTGTGCTCTGTTAAGTTACATACAGTCCAAGTGTGACTCCTCTGAACATACCAGGAAAACAATAAACACTGGCAGAACACATATTTATTAAGAGTCTTTTTCAGAAAGAATAAGTTGTGAAGGAAATTCAGTAAAAATAAATGTTTTGAGAAGGATTAAAGTAATAAATGGGACAGAACATGGTAAAGAGAAGTGAAATGCTGGGTACTTAACGAGTTCTATTTTATAAAATTCTTCATATTAATAGTCGGTGTCATCAAAAGAATGGGGTCATTGAAATTTTGTGATATTTTTGTGGAACACCTTAAATGGATGCATCAGGATATGAAGTCTGTTTTTTAGGATTCATTAAATGGCATATGTGTGACATTTTAATGTAATAATTTCAAATGTTTGTCATAGTACTCTATAATTTTCAGTTGCAAAAGGGCAGTTTTCATTACCAAAGCCATGGGGAAGGGATGTAATAGCAAGTTTATTCTTGGTATTCTAGTATTTTCTCTCTTTTCTGTAAACCGTTTCTAACTCTTCTGAATTCAAGTCCCTGGCATTTCATTCTGCCTATTAACCATGTAAAGAGCAACCACTATTGCATAATTCTTCCATTCACATATGACAGGTTCTGCATTTCAGGATCATGATCTGTTATGTTAGAACAATGGGTTCCAATTCAGGCAGAAAAGGAATGACCCTGTTAGCCCCTACCTCATTGCAGTGGCCTCCTTCTTCCCTAGATTTTGAAATACACTTTTAGGTGTGGGAGGGAATCATGAATATTTTATGGAAGCTCAACAGAGCATTAGTTCTAACACCTCTAACATACCTGCTGATTGAAAACCTACTTCCAAAGTTGAACAGAAGGCAGCAAGCAGTCTCTAAACCGTCTGATATTCAGAAAGGTGCTGACTCTTAAAATAGATGTCAGACTGAGACCACATTCTCGGGCAATGAAAATTCTGGGTCCCCTATGTGTTTCAATAGGAAGGAAATATTTCTTTTGTTACCAAAGATCCAACTTTATTCTCTGCTAAAAAAGATTTAGCTAAATGAGTAAACCTTAACTCACTTCACCAAGAAGGCGGGGAATACCTTTTGGAAATAATGCTACTTCCTGAATTCCATTACAAGTCATTTTCCATTCTAGATTTATCCATTTCACAGAATACTTGGTAATTAGTAACATCATAACTTCAAAACCTGGAGGCACAGAAAACAACAGGGGCAAAACCCTCAGGCCTAACCTCATTTCTATCCTTCTTAGTGTTTCTGATGCATCTTAACTTTTATACTGCCAAAAATTCAGATGTAGGGGACAGAGTCAGGTTTCTCTCTTTAGACACTTTAATTTTCTCTGTCACTATATAAACCTTACAAATGAAAACCTTTTTATTTCAGGGAAAAGACTTTTGTTTTGACACCAGAACTTAGTCCTCAGAAGCTCCGGGTCTTACCTTTTGAAAAAGCTTCAGTATGTCATTATCATGGAATTGAGTAAGTTTTTACATAGAATTTGTGTGTTGCAAATGTAGCTTCTTTCATGAGTGTGAAGTGACTGTAATATGATAGAAAGTGAGGCAGAGGCAAGAAAAAAGTATGTCAAAAAGTAATAAATACACAAATAATTTTGTCTGCTATTGAAGAAAAAAGTTACTTGATGGTTAGTTAGTTTTATATCATTTAAACATCCTTTTATTAGTTACTAGATATTTTAATCAAAATTACTTTGCTCCCTACATTATTAATGTGCATTTGCACTGTGGGTCACATTAATACTGCGGGGTCACTAATTACACTGTGGTTGTTTAGACATATAATATTAGACAACATTAGATGAAATGTGTTTCTACTTTAACATGTTGATTGTGTATATATCTTTACAGAATTTTAATTGAGTATTTTAAGGCTTCTCTTGGGTAAAGGTATTAGCAGTTTCTGAAGTTATATGCATGTCTACAATTTTCACAAGGATAGGGAAGGGAAAATGCTGATAATATATTTTACAATGAATTTTCAAGATCTTAGTGATTCATTTTGCAAAATATTTCTCATTCTTAAAGTAAAGCACTTTTAATTTTTCACAAATTAAAATAGCAAAGTACTGGATTGTTCATAGAGATACAGATTCTAGAAATTGCATTGTTTTTGCATAACTGTTATTGCTCTGTAATTGGTATGTTACACTATAGCTATACTGAATCATAAAGGTCATTGTTGACATGCTGGGGAGATTGATGTTTAGTTTTAAGTGGCACAAAAGAAGGTGTTTTAATGCCTAAAATTGTGTGCATAGGTTTATTCCATTACCTTCGGATAAATTAAAGCATCAAGCAAGAGATGTAAAGGGACAAAAATACTATAAGGACGATGGAAATAAGAAAGAGAATGCAAACTAAAGAGCTACTAAAAAACTTAAGAGACCAGTTACGTTTTTTGCTAGTTATTCTAACAAAAGAGGAAACTAAAACAGTTCTATAAGTAATTAACAAAACCAAGATTAAGTTAGTATCAAACAGGAGAAAATATTTTTAACATAAATGAGAGGGTAAATTTCCTTTACAGTTAAAGAAATGCTTACAAATCAGTAAGTCAAGAAGATAAATACCCCTATGGAAGTTGGTAAAATCTTGAACCAATCAAAGAAGAAATACAAATGATCAGTATATATGAAAAGCTATTTTTCTTATGTACTCATATCTATAAAAGGAAAAATGAGACCTGTTGAAACTATTCTGGGAATGGGGGGCAGGGAGATAAAGACTGATGGAGTGAATTCAACCATGATATATTGTAAGAACTTTGGTAAATATCACAGTGTACTCTCAGTACCAAAACAGATTCACTTGTCAAATTGCCAACTGTTTTAAACATAATACTGAGTGGTGATGAAGGGACATGAACAACCCAGCTCAAAGAAATGTACATCATTACAACCTTCTGTGCAAATGTTTACAATCAGATTGATTAACTCAGCTTAATGAAGAAATTAGGGCTGTCCATTAGTTATCATGTAGGGGTATTTAAAATGAGAAACATTGGAAATAGTGTCTTCAGGGGGTTAATTAAATAAATTATAGTATATCTATAAAAAAAATTCTTCATAGTCATCAAAATGGCTAAAATTAGAAAAACAGGTAAATATTTGCAGGTATATAGAACAGATATTGATGGGAGTACAAAATGATAATACATCACTTTTTATGTCATCATTTACCTAGAAAAGGATTTAGCAGGTCTTTACAAAATTAATTTGTCTCATATCCTATAGGCCAGCAATTCCAATACTGGTATATTTCCCAAGAGAAATAAAAACATATCTGCAATGAAAGACTTTTATGAGAATGTTCACAGCAATTTTATCCATAATAGTTCAAAACTAGAAACAGTCTATGAGTATATCAATAGGAGAGTAGAGAAACTGATACAGCTATACAAACAATCCTACTCAGCAATAAGAAGGAAAAATATTCATACGTGCAACAATAGTATACCTGTATGAATGGACAGTTGAGATAAGAATGTAAGGACTTTGAAATGAGCAACAGGGAAGCAAGGCATCCATTAATGAGTCATTTTTGAAAGAAGTCCTTTATGAAATGCTAACTTGAATCTACATGGTTCAGATAAGAATTTTAATTTGGTTCATGAGCAATAGGCAACTCAGAGACAATTACTGAATAATGAAAAAGTGAAATGCCATTTCTTGCAGTCTTTTATATGTAATTGATGAAAGGACTCCTCGTTTGGGAGGATTATTTTTCTTTCCTCAACATCAAAAGGTTAGAGCTGTTTCCCAAATAGCCTTGAATTTAGCTACGTCTTTTATTCAGACTATTTGTATTTTTAGCTATATGTTCTTTTGTGACTGATTTCAAAATTTTTTAGTTGTGCTAAATTTACCCTCATCAAGTTTAACTGGGCACTTCTTTGTTCTACTATGTAAAAATTTGATCAGTAAGACTATGTTTTTCTGTTTCTCTCCTTTTTGATTTTATTAAAAGATTTAGTCATTAAACATTACAGAAATGTTTATAATGAAAACCAGCAATTCTTTTTACTAGTACCTACCGCTAATCCCAGTTTTCAGAAGCACCTATTGTATTTGATTTTAATTTCCCTACCAGTTACTTCTTTTTTTTCTAAAAGATATCCTTCTATCAATAATTTTGATGTCTTTATATAAAATTGACTCTTTTATGAAAAATGGGGATTTGGGTCCTCTTATTCTTGATTTGTTTTTCAGCTGTTTACTTTCTTCTCATTAAAATATATTTAAATTTCTATTTCTTACTCTGTGACCTATAAAGCAGCATTTCCCCCATTTTGCTTGATAATTTTAGGACCTCATTATCTATTTAAAGGGACCTAAATAGCATTGTTAAGTATTTTTCATATAACTTGAATCTGAAAGTTGAAACCAGTGAACACTGCTTATATTACTATGATGAAAAATGGTTCCCTGCTGAGAAAATACAGTAATATTAGCATTTTCTTTACTACAATGCCAAAATACTCACCTCAAGATAAATGTGTTTGTTTCGTTTTGTTTTGTTTAGCATATTATTGTACAGGGTCTACATTGTAACATTTATAAAGTGCTTACAATATATCCTAATTAAATTTACCCCATCTATCATTCTCCTTCATCCTTACTTCCCTCTTCTTAGAATAGTTTCAACAGGTCTCATTTTTCCATTTTCATACATGAGTACATAATATTCCCACCATATTCACCTCCTTCATCCTTCCCTTATGTCCTTCCCCTTCCCCTTCCATGGTGCTAACCCCCAGACAGGACCTGTTTTATCTTCCTGTCCTTCATCTTTGAAAACATACATTTTTGTTTGTTTAATAGCTATACAGGGAGTTTCATTGTGACATTTCCAAGTATGTATGTATTATATCTTGAATTGGTTCATCCCTCTATTTTTTTTTCCCTTCTACCTTAATCCTCTTCTTATGGTGATTTCATCAAGTCTAAATATTCTATATTCATTCTTGTATAGAAAGTACATCAACCATTTTCACTTCCTTTACTTCCTTCTTTTACTCTTCTCCTTCCATTTGTGACCTTCCCTTAGTGTGACCTGTTTTTAATTCTTATCCTTCATTGTTTAGGTTTCTATTCATTGTTCAGTGGGATTTTTGCCTTAGTATTATGCATATATATGCATTGGCACATGTGTTTTTTGTCTCTTTGGCCCAGTAAGCTCTTTCAAACACTTATTTGAATAAAATAAACTATAATAATTCCATTTTAACAACTGACTCAAGTGTCCATCATATAGCCTTATTTTAGGTTATGTTTCCCCAAATACTGTAATTTAATTTTGCTTATCTTGAGTCTCATTTCCCTACATTTTTCCTATTGTTTTCTAGTTTACCACAGAAAAAATTTAAAGGTACCCACAAATTTATAGAATTTGTAAAGGGTATGTTCTTCATGTTCATTTATCAAAATATTAAATCTAGACTTGTTTGAGCCTGGTATGGTGGTACTTGCCTATGGTGGCTCTCATTTGAGCATATAGGAAGCTAAGGCAGGATGATCTTGAGTTCAAGATCAGCCTGGACTGTATAGCAAGACCCTGTCTCAAAAAACAGACAAAAACTTATTTTAGTGCTGTTTTCTGATTGGCCTAAATCTGCACAGAATTTATTTATTAATACATACAAATACAGTATCATGAGGCTCTGATTCATTATTGTTTTCTCTTCTACTGACTACCTACCTGCATAAACAAATCTCTCTGCTTTCTTTACTGTAAATTTATGCTTATTAAGTTGGGGACATTGAGACCAGACTACCAAAGTTGTATGGGGTGAACCCTATGAATCTAGAAACATGTTTTTTTCTAGAAGATTTGGGTTTATTGAGTGAGGGCCTACTTATACTTATGTTCACCATAGATTAAGAGTAGAAATAAAATTCAAATGAAATTTTAAAGTAAATGTGGAACTGCAGAGAAAGTTCTTTCTTCCTTGCTCTTCTTCTACTCTAACATAAAAGAATATTTAGGAAAAGATATGCTAACTGCTTAGGTAGAGATTGGTGTTTCTTAAGGCAAAGTGAAGAACAACCACTATTGGCTTGTTTTTTTTTTTCATTTGTCTACCCTATGCTAGAGGGCAAAATACCAATGGTTGTACTGTTTTCTAAGAAAAAAAAAAAAACAAATTAAACTCTGCCATTATACTGTTATAATCATTCTGTCACACCAACCTTGTATTGCTTTAGAATTTCTTTCATCTATTCCAGATTTAGCAGGTTTCACCTGCATTCATTGTCCTTTTCTGGTTTGTGATAGACACTATTTTGTCTACTTCTGATTACAAAATAGAAATATCTTCATCATCTTATGAGTATTTTTCTCAGGATCCATAAAGCGTTTCGTTACTGTTTTGTAAAAAACCGTGGAATTGCAATCTTCTAACAATAAATGTTTCAAACTAACATCAAATATATATACTATCGGTTTTACCAGTTGCCCAGAAGAGAAAGAACTTATCACAGTCCTTTTAGTTGATGCTGATTTTTTTTAACAAAATATGTTCTAATAAACAACAGACTGGAGAAAGAATATTACAGCATTGCAAGACCAAGGTTCTACTTCCTGCTTGGCCAAAACTTACTATTCTGGCTTAAGAGTTCTGTTTTCTTGCCAGTTAAAGTAAACTGTTAGGTTAGATCAGAGATGTTTCAGCCCTAACTCATCTAGTAGCTTTTTTTTCTTTTGTGCTTATTTAAGATGTACAACATGAGAATTTAATATACATATGTAGTGAAATGTATCGTCAAGGAAGTTAACATTCTATAATCTCACACAGTTACTTCAGTCTTTAATTGTGGTTAAGGGCACCTAAAATCTACTGTGTTAGCAAGTTTCCACTATGTGATACAATATCATTAATTGTGGCTCTCATGTTATGCACTAGATTTCTGGATGTATTCATCCTACATAACTGCAACTTTGTACCTTTGACCTATATCATCCCCCCATGACCTCCATTCTACTCTTTATTTCTGTGCATTCCTCTGCTTTTCAGAATGACCTGGACAGCTTTTTTAAAATGTCAGTACTGGGTCATATCCTAGAGTCTTTAAATCACAAATTCTGGATATGTTGTGTTTCTTAAAAGCGCTTCAAATGGTTCTACTGTTCAGCTATGTATTGCCCACTGACTAAGATGATGTATACCTCACATAGGAGATAGTATACTAAAATGGTTAAAGACGGGCTCTGGATTAAATTTTGGCTGTGCTACATAATTATTAGTATATTCTCGGATTTGCTGTGGTAGAGTATAAACCTGCTGATGACGATGGTGGTGCAAATAGGTATACGTATTTGTTGACCACATGGCTTTCATGTTACAAGTGCTGTCCCTAAGTGTAATCCTCACAAGTAATGCTCAAAGAAGCTTTCAGATAAGCACTATAAACCTCATTTTGCAGATCAGGCAACAGAAGCATAGATAAACTTAAGTAATTTGGCCAGGTTCACACAGCAAATTGGAAGAGCATTTAAATCCAGAGTCAGCACTGTAGTCTATATTCTCAGAAATCAAATATGTAAGTGTCAGGAGGGAAAGATAAAGTTCTTTAAACCTCCATGGGCAGTCAGGTGTTTAAGTAATAATACACTTCTTGGGAGTTGAACTCCAGCAATCTGGTTTTAGGGAGCATCTTAGAATTTACAGGTAAAAAGGAAGAAACAGCAGAGCAAAGTTTTACTTTTGTCAGTTCTCCCGTTACTCAAGCAAAACCATTTGGGTTCCCTTCATGCAGTTACAGGAAGTGGAAAAATGAAGCTTTGCAAGGTCACACATATCATTGGCAGTTTTCTTGATATGCTTATTTGTTGTACTTAATAACATGGGATTTCTTGGAGTCCAAAAGCATTTGCTAAGCCAATATGTCATTGATTCTCTAAGTCAGATTTAGCTAAGAAACCAGATACACAGAAGACCAAAGCGTTTGAAGAAAAATCTGTCAGTCAGTCAGTAAGGTGAGGAGTAAGTTTCAGTGAAAAAATTCAAAATATTCTGAGTTGTTTGGTGAGCTGCCTTTAATCTTCATGCTGTAAATAACTCTGCCCTTTCTAACAGAAGTCAGCATTTCATATTGTTATTTGTCAGCCATGCTGAGAAATCAGAGGTTACTAGATTTCTTAAAAGAATTAAAACAGCAACTATATTATTTCAAAAATAAGCCAGAGGATTAACTTAATCTGTTGCTCAGGAACGCAGTCAAAGAGAAGTCAGAGTGCCTTCACATTTTTAGATCAGTTATTTGGAAGTAAGAACTTTGTAAGGAAATGTCTCCCTACTTTCTATTCGAAAGGAAGAAGCCCATTGTTGTCCCATGCATTGATTTTAATGATCTTCCCTTCACTTTAGATACTGCTTGGATGACCGAAAAGCTTTAGAGAGAGATGGGGGATTTTCTGAACTTCAGTCTCGTCTGATTCGTTACGAAACTCAAACCACCTGCACCAGAGAAAGTTTTCCCTTGCCCACTGTGCTGAGCCCCCTTGCGTCTCCTGCAGTTTTATCAGATCCTGGAAGCGTCCCTGATGGAGAAGCTTTACAAAGTGAAATCCGAAAAAGTGAACTCCGAACTGAAGTCTCTCGACTAAAACGGAGATCTAAAGAGCTGAATGGCCTTTATCCCAAAAAGAGGTGACCATATCAAGTGCACAAAAATTGTACCTCAAAAGAAATATTTTAGTCTCTAGGGGAAATTTTTAATATCTGCCTTTTATATTTTAAGTCACTTTCTTGCATAGATTTTACATTAATAATTCCTTCATGCCAGGAAATTTTGTCTTTTATTGTGAACAATTGATTTTATTTATAAATTATAAAAAGAGATGATTTGTGATTTTAAAAAAAATCCAGTTTTTTGCTTTATATGCTAATATACTAGTCCCTTAACACTGGAGAGCTCACCTAGCTGATGAAGCAGCCCAGATGCTCTGCAAAGAGGGTGTCAGGACGGAAGTTGTGCTGCTCGCTTTTCATTCTTCCCTCTCTGCTCCCAGGCTCTGTTGGCCCAAGGGGGTTCTGTGGCACCGTTTTAGAATCACTTGCATATATAATAAGCCTTAAAGCCTGCATAATCAATATGCTATGTAAAAAAGACTAAATTTACGTATCTTTACAATGTGTCAATTTCAGATCTGTGACATCTAAAGCAAGCCTCAAATTTTTTACTGTATTTAAACCTTAAAAATTTATGAAATAAGTGAAAATAAAACTTTCAAATCTTTTTTTTTTAAGCAGATAAAAATAATAGAATGCTATCTCTCTAGCATGGAATAACTAAATTATTTTAATGAGGACTTTATAATTTTATGGTATTTTTTATAACAGATAAAGTTGAAAAGCACACCCATTATCATTTGAGATATAACTAATAGAAATATTTGTATTCCAGAAAAGAAAGAATACTGTGGCCTGTGAGTTAGTAGAAGTAAAGACTCTTAAGACTCTTCTTCTTTTTTTTCCAGAGGATTTTTATTACCATACTTTATACAGGAGAGATTCATTGTGGCATTTCTGAATATGCTTACATTACATTACACATTGGTCAGTTCGCCCCCACCATCTCTCTCCTTCATCCCTCTCCTCCCAGTTGCAAAAGGTTTAATTGTTTTGTTTCATGTAAGTATATAAAGTCAACCACATTCCCTTCTATTCACCCTCCCACAACTACCAATTCCCTCACAGCACCTATTTTACAGTTTTATCGTTCACTTTTAATTCCAACTATAAGACTCTTGGAAAAGGAAAAATTTGAGTCTTTATAGAAGTAAATGTAAACATTTTAGAAAGTCTAAATTAAGTTTTATAGTTTTTCTTATAATTCTTTTCACATTGTTACTTATTTTGCAAAATCATAGATACAATATGATGCAGGTATGGTTTGTTTGTTAAAATTTTCTTCTTTTTTTATGGAAAAGTATAAATACTAAACAAGTAAATATTATGCCTATAAAAAGTACTACCTAGCATGCTGATTTATATGGGAAGTTATAAATGAAGGGAAGAGCAAAGTAATATTATTCATTGCTTTCTCCATTAGCTAAAATTCTAGTTATTCCTTGCCTTTGTTTTAATCATTCGCTTGAAGAACTAAAGGAACAACTTTATAATATGTTGATTGCTTATTTAAGGCAAATAATTTTGTCTCCTTCTATTGAATTTATGTTTGAATGGAAATAGTTGTAACACATATGTCAAAAAATAGACTTCATTATTGATTCACTTAATCTGTGTTCTTGATTTTTTTTCCTTCACTATAGACTTGTGAAATCTGAAAGTTCAGATTCTCTTCTTTCTCAAGCAAGTGGCAATAATCATCAGCATCATAATTACTTGGTGACATCCAGAAAGCCACGGGCAGAGCAGTCATTATCAACACCTTGTCCATTGGTTCCAATTCCTAGCTGTGAAACTTCAAAAGTCACTGCAAAGTCCAGTTCAGGACAGAAGAGTGTACATGAATCAAAAGCATCAAAGCAGATTAAGGAATCGAGATCACAGAAACATACACGGGTAAGACTTTTCTCCATCTTTCTTGGTACTACATGAGAAGAAAGTCCTTTTCTTGAATGTTTTAAAATGTATGTCTTAAAATTTTGCTAATGAAATAATGTCTGGAATTTTCTTGAAAAGAACCTAGTTTAGGAAGGATGATGGGAAAGTGGGTTAGAATATAAATGAAACAAAATTAGCCACAAATTTATATCCTTGAAGCTAGTTGATAGATATATCAAGATAGGAATTTATTATAAAATGCTCTTTCTACTTTCTATGCTTGAAATTTTCCATAATAAAAAATAAATACCCACCTACATATCCTATGTGTAACTGTTCTATTCAGATTTCAATTCGGAACTGATAGTTTGAATTCCTTTCTTAAATACTGTTCATTTCCTGCTAACACATTAACTCTTGACATGTGGGACCATGTAGATATTATAGATGTCTTTTCTTCTCAGTAATCTTTAATGAACTTACCTGTCTTTTGTGCAGCTGAATGATTGTATAACTCACAGTCCATTTATGATTGATCTCTAGAGTTGAAATAGTGTTTGTATCTTTTCCAAGAAACATTACTCATATGTTATTCTATTCAAGATACTGAAAGAAGTAGTGACTGACACCCTGAAGAAACACAGTATTACTGAGGCTCATGAATGTTTCACTGCATGCAGCCAGCGTCTCTTTGAAATCTCTAAGTGCTACCTACAGGTACAGTGTGTTCTCTGCTAATGGCAAAATTTAGTTCATGTTCTAATGTTTCTGTTTGAGGTTAAAAAAAAATTAGAATCAGTATTTTGATAGTGATAGTATATAACCTGTTGCAAAACTTAAAAACTGGAAATAGAAATATTAAAGCAGAAATATTTTGTATTTGATTTATTTGATTTTAGTCCTCATATGTAGGACTAAATATGTATTTTAAAAATTCATAAAATGCATAAAAATACATAAAATAATATGTGTTTTATTTTTCTTTTTTGCTACTCCATCATAGACTCATTTTTTTAATCCTTAACTGTCTTCCCATTAGAATGTAAACTTCATGAACAACTTTAGAAGGCTACATTTTAACTGAAGTCCTCAATATTTCCCTCAACAACTCTTTTACTTAAGTGGAGTGTCAAACATTAATTAGTAATTAGTTTAACTAGTGATTTTATTTCAATACAAAGTAAAAAGACTGCTGACCGAATATCAAAACACCTGGTTTCTACATTGCCAAAGTAGTAGTAAGAGATCGGGCAGGCAAGTCATTCATATAACACTTATCTAAAACTTAGATGCTGTTCAGTTATCTCCAGGCTTCTGAGTTTCTGAAGGACAGTCATCAGTGGGTTTCTGGTTAAAATTGCAGATTAACCTCCCTAAATTTATTTAAAGAAAAGCAATATTACTACATAAAGCAAGTGATGAGACAAATAAAAACTGTAGGAATGTTTATTGTTGAACAAGAAGAAGGTAATGGAAGTGTATAGCCAAGTAAGGGAGCTACGGCCTGGAATCCTGTCTCATGGAATTCCCATGAACTATTCACGTCGGACAGCTGACAGTCACCGAGGTGCTCGGGATTTGAAGATACCAGGTGCCATGGAAAGCAGGGGCAAGGTACTAGGTGGAAATGAGAGGAATTAGGTAAAGATCTGCCAGGTGAACTGGAGAGCCTTCAGCTTTCTCTGCATGCCCTCTTGCCCGATGGTAACCACAGGTCTGTTACTCATAGGTCTCTCCGACACCTCTGGGACAAGGCAGGAAATGGGCTCTAGAGGAAACATGGCTGCAGTGGAAAAGCTATCTGGTCACCTTGTTTCTCTACCTCATAAAGCCCCCAATGAACAAGCTTGGCACAGCCAGAGTGTCCATATTTTTAGTGTCTCTCTTTTCAATGTGACGATATCAAGGATTCTCAGACTATAGACAGCTTCTAACACAAGTGATGCCAGAGCAAAAAGGTAGGGGAATTTTAAAGAGCATAATTGAGGAAAACTTCATGAAGCTATATTTCTCTTAGAAATTTATATCCATAAAACTAGAATAGGATTCTGTTTCAAAAAAAAAATGCACGGAACATAAAAAGTCCTTAAAATAATTTAAAAATGTGACGAAATCAGTTTAAAAGAAAAGCTGCACAATTGTTATATAAAAAATTAGAACCAAATGAGAAAAACATTGAATAGAGGATAAGAAAACTGGAGGATTAATCCAAAAGACCCAATGTGCTAATAAATAGGAGTTTCAAAAATAGAGACTGTAGGAAAGAAAATTGTCAAAAATATTACCAAAAGTTTCCCAGGAACTGAGGGACTCAAGCCTCCTGCCAGAACGGATACTGGGTATGTCCAGCCCAGTGACTGAAAATTCTGCAAAGAGTCACATCATTGTGGTATTCCACACCTCCAGACATCAAGAGAACATTTCTGAAAGATTCACAAGAAAATGTAGTTACGTTTTTAACTAATCAGGGATCAGAATGTTGTTGGACTTCCCAGTAACACTGGCAGCTAAAAAAAGTACTTTTAAATGCGAATGGAAAGAATTTTCCCTAGTATTTTATACCTTGTCTGGAATTCAGTAAGGTGTAAGGACTCAATAAAGATACATTCAAACACAGAAGGTCTAAAAAAAAACTTATCTTACCCTTCTGAGGAATCTCTAGAAGATAAAGTTCAGCAGTTGAGGGGCTGAGTCAAGAAATAAGGCAAAAATTAATCTCAAGTGGGGAAAATATGTACTAGCAGTTGGATGAGGCCTCCAGAACAAACAGACCAATTTGCAGCAGGCTTTGGGAGAAAAGTCTACTTTTTTTGCATGTTAGACAAGCATTTAGCTTCAAACACCCCCCCCTCCCCGCCTCCCGTAGTCCTTATTTCAAAGCCTTGGTACAGAAATAAAATAATGTAAAATAGTTCACTAACTGATTACATATGGTATGACATTGTTTGGAATATATCAAGTTAAATAAAATTTTAAAGAAGAAAAACTTTTGAAGAAACTGAACTGAGAGGTTATCTAGTATCTTTTAGTCTTAAAAAATAATTCGTTGCTGTACACTGATCACTCCATAGTGGGGAGGGGGAAATACTCAGAATTATATACATGGAAATCTAAGCAGTGAAAAAAGTAAATAGGTAGTTTTACTACAAGAAAAGTAGAGTGTTGGATGAAAGAGACATCATAACCATAATATATTAATTACCTCAGAACCAAATGGTGTTTACCTAGATATAATAATGCAAATGTTATTTACTAATTAGAAATTGTGGCACAGCTATTATTGAGAGGAAGAGAAAGTTGGTGAGGTGCAAGGGACCTGGATCCATGACCATTTGTTATCTCTGCTGTCAGTTGTCAATGCCCAAAACTCCTAAGTCATCAAGTAGCAGCAAAGCACTTTGGGTGGAAACATGAAGACACAAATAAGGAGAACAGCTAAAAGAATTAAAGGTGGCTGCCCCTCTGAGGGATGACTTGGAGGCTTAGGACAGGACTGCTTTTTTTTCTTGTTTAAGAAAATCAGATTTTTTTATCTTATAATCTAATTTGATATGATCATTAAATTTTAAAAAGGTCAACTTTAGTTCTACTCCTATGTCATCCCTCTTTATGGTGGAGTGAAATAGCCCAGGAATAAAACACACTTTATCTGAAAAAATAAATGTACATTCACTTCCCAAGCATCAGTGAATACTCACTCATGGTTGGGAGATGAGAATAGGTTAGGTCAGCACTGTCAGAATAGATTAGTAGGAACAAGGACATAGGTGTAGCATACATACTCGGTTAGGGTATTTTTACATTTCAGGTTGGAGCTAAATCATATTACTTTGATTTTTGATAGTATTTCTATAATTGCATTGATACTTGCAGAATTATTTAGGATAATCTGAAGCTCACTAAGGAGTTCTCTTTAATGTACAAATTGAAAAGTGCTATGTTTTGTTAATGTTTAGGACCTTAAAACTTCAAGGGGACTACTTGAAGAAATGAAGAAAACCGCAAACAACAATGTTGTACAGGTAAAATATATTATTCCCAAGAAACTATATTCAGTTGAGTTGATATTTTATTTCAGGGTTGTTGTGCAGCTATTGTATGTGAAGTAGTGATGGTATCTCTAAGTATCTCTAAGAAAACTTAGAGAGTTTTCTGCAAACTCTCTAAGATAATGATAGATTTATTCAGGCAGAATATTAAGTAGTACTTAGTAGATTGCTTTGTTAACAGAAGAGTTTCTAAAATGACACTAAGAATAAAAAAGAAAAAATTTAATAATCCAAAGGGTTAGGAAAACTAATCTATTTTGATTAGCTGTTTTCAAAGGTAGGTTTAATTTCTTTTGAAAAATACATTTTCAAATTGCAGTAGAGTCTTTATTTTGTCCAATACTAAGTGCAGTGAAAAGTGTTCTTCAGTTGGAAAATAAAATGTTTTTTAAGTATCAGGTTTGGATATATTACTTTTTTAAAAAATTTCTGCTGTGCTCTTAAAATCTGTGTTTTTCTACCACTTGTGTTTTCAACAGCAATGTACCATAGTCATGTATTGTTTTCTCCCCTAGGTAATTGAATGGGTATTAGAAAAGACAAGCAAGAAATGATGCAGAATCATATCTTGAGCCATTACAAGTTGGATGGAGCCGTTATCACTACTTCCTACCTTGGCCTGAGAATTATAAACAAATTCCAAACTCTATTGGAAGGACAGATACTACATTTCTAAATAGTTAAATAAGTACCCTATATTTATGTAGTTTTGGTGATATTCAGTTATTTTTAATTGTGTACTTGTTTTATACAGTTTCACATTTTAATTTTTAAAGGGATTTTATACGTTTTAAGTGTTTAATTTTTGTTTAATTATTAAAATATTTCTTTACTTTTTGGGTTTACCTGTCTTTATTGTTAGGCCTGCTTAAGTTTCTGAGTCTTTATTGCCATTGGCTTTTCCATGTATTCCAACAGCATTTGACTGGGCTGCCCCAGTTTGGAAACATTGGCACAAAGCATTCACACAGGCCCCTGTCCAAAGTGAAGGAAGGGTAAAAATTTTGGAAAAAAGACATAATGGAAATGACTCAGAGTACAGATTCTCAGAAACAAATCTTTTCCCATGACAGAAAAATCCAGAAGATGTAGGAAATATTTAAAAGGAGTGAAAAACAATACCAACATTTTTCCTTCTCTCTGAATAGAACTGCTGTAGTATTTTAAGTATGTATGATTATTTTTAAATACTTTCAAAATTTAAATCATACAGTATGTGTGTATTTGTGTACACCTGTGCTTGTATGTGTATGTGTATCTATTTACAGCCTGCCTTTCACTGAACCACGTAATAGTCGTCCCTTTTATGTGGTTTTGCTTTCTGTGGCTTCAGTTACTGTTGTCCTTCGCTGGGGTGGCTTCAAACTCACAATCCTTCTACCTCTCCCTCCTTAGTACCTGGAATTATAGGTGAATATTTCCAACTGGTTTCCTGAAGGATCAGTTTGCATTCTCACCAGCAAAATCCTTGTTTCCTTTTTTTGAAGACTCAATATACTAAAGTTAAACTTAAAAAAAAATTTTTTAGCAACCCTTACATTTATTCCTAGCTTTCACCCCTTTTTCTTCTGGACACTGAGTTTTTCTTGCTGATTTGGAAAGGTTCTTATATGCTAAGGATGTCAGCTCTTTGTCATTGTGTTTATGGTGTTCTGAAGTTTTTAGTTGTTATGCAGCCACCTTTGCCATCATTTTCTTTACAGTCATTTCCGGTTCTATTAATGTGCTTAACATGTGTGTGTCTTGTTGGCTTATACTGAAACCAAACTAATGCGTCCCAATAGTGTTTGTGGTGTTCTGTGAAGCTCTATCCAGCCATTCAATCTTTCCAATGTTGTCATGCACCTTTTTGTCTTTATTCCTTTCATCTACAGATCCAGGTTTGTTTTTTTTAACCATACTTAACATAGATTGAGACAAGTTTGAAGATACACAGGATCCTAGTTCCCTAGCTTTGTTAAGGTATAACTCACATATAAAATGGTATATATTCAAGGTATACATGTGATATTTGATACGCATAAACACTGAAATGATCATCACAATCAGTGAACACATCTGTCATAGTTACCATTTTGTTGAGGGGAGGGGCTCGAGTGTGGGTGTGTTACAGACACTAATCTACTTTCTGTCTTTTGTGTCTGGCTTCTTTCATTTAGCATAAGGTTGTCAAGGTTCATCTGTGTCATAGATTGTCAGTACTTCTTTTCTTTTTATGGCTGAATAATACTTTAATAAGGTTTTGCTTATCCATTTACTGATTGATGAATTTTTGGGTTGATCCTACTTTTTGGTATTATAAATAATGCTGCTATGGTATTTGCATGGACATGCTTTGAGTTCTTTTTAGTGTATGCCTAAGAGTGGAATTGCTGGGCTATGTGGTAACTTCCTCTTTAATATTTGAGAAAATCACTGACTTTTGCAAGGAAACTGCTTCTTTTGACATAAGATTCCAGTTTCTCTGCATGCTTGCCCACATTTGTTATTTGTCTTTTTGACAAGTGATATGAAATGGTATCTCACTCTGGTTTTGATTTGCATGTCCCAAATGATTAATGATGTTGAGCTTGTTGTCCTGTGTTTGCTGGCTACTTACATATCTTCTTTAGAGAAATGTCCACTCAAATCCCTTGACCATTTTTAAATTGAGTTATAACTTGTCTTTTATTATTGGTTTATTGTTATATAATTATCTATCATTAATTATATAAAGAACTTTGTAAAAGTTCTAGAAAAAGTTCTATATGATCAGGGATTCTAGTCCCTGATCAGAGAGATGATTTGCAAATACCTTCTCCCATTATGTGGATTGTCTTTTTACTTTAGTTTTAGCACTTACATTTGGGTATATGACCCATTTTTACTTAATTTTTTTGTATAAGATGTGAAAAGAAGGGGACCATCCTCATTCTTTTGCATATAGACATCCAGTTGATCCAGCATTGTTCATAAAAAACACTACTATTTCCCCATTTAATTTTCTTGGCACCAGAATGTCCATCAAATTTTAAGAAACTTATATCAAAATGAGAAGAGGCCTATGGACCACTGAATTTCTGGGCAGCAAGCAGGGTAAGAAAACTTAAATTATAAACATGGTCTGTTTCTTATGGAAAAGAAAGAATTCTTAGAAACCAAAGTCAGAATAATGGAGTAGAGTACCAGTCCCAGGTAGAACAAATGGGCCCTGATAGGAGAATGTTCCCTGGCCCCTTCATTCCTGCTGAATTTCTGAGTTAAATGTGCTAGTGATGAGTCACTTAATGAAAGGTAAAGTCTGCTGCCCTTATCCTGTCCCTGCCTCCACATTGTATATTAGATGTATGGATGGCAATTTCTATAGGTTTTCTTCTAGGTCATCATCTTCTGGATTTTAAAAACCCACTTCCTGAAAAATCTACCAAGTGAAGATCATGAAGTACTGGAATTTATCCTTTATTAAATATTTTGCATGAGGAAGGAATGAAAAATAATCATGTCCAAAGGGTGGACTATGGTAAGTGAAATATGTCCACAAAGCTTTTAAGATCCTCCCATCAGGGTATGGAGGCTCTCTTCCCTATTCCTTGCATGTGAGTTAGCAGTGGTGCATAGTGTGAGTTAGAAAACTAGGTCCGGAGGACCTTTTAGCTTCCATTTTGCCTCTTTTTACAGTCATACCCTGAACATAAGGGGAAGGTCACATGGAAAAGAGCTGAGTGTGAGTAAGTCATCTCAGACCCTCCAGTCTAATGGATGTGCTGGCTAAACACAGCCACTTGAGCAAGCCCATTCAGCACAGACATGACACCTTTCTGTGCTGTAAGCCACTAGTTTCCCAGGTGTTTGGTTCTGTATAAACATTAGATTCCACTTATATCTAAAAATTTATTATAAGTTCTAGTGCAAGAAAGAAAGTTGTAAAAACTTCAGTTATTAAGACCTTAGTTTGAAGTCTATACTAGAAGAAAAAGGAAATTCTTTTTTGGATTAAATTTCCTTTTCTCCAGAAATACAGAAAACCTGCAGAGGACAAAGTTCCCCCCCTCCTTCCCCTCCCTGTGAGGATTATAGAGCAGGGAAGCCTAAATTAATGAGGCATTATTACAGGTCTTTCTTGGACATTGTCTTTGGGTTCTTGGGAGGAAATAAGCTCTATTCATCCAAAAAATTGTAACTAAAAGCTGCTGAAAGTATAACTGGCTTTTTTCCTTGAGAAGAACAAAGTTTTCTTGCAACACTCCCAGGCCCTGTTCCAAATCAGGGCCAAGCATAGGAGCAGGACAGCCTCGGCCTCTAGGGTCCAGTCAGCCCGAGTGGCTTTGTTCATAGGATGCCTTTTTCCTCACTGTGCTGCCAAAGACAATGGGTGGCCTCGTGGGCCTCAGTTCCCTCTCCTGCCTTTTGTTGCCGAAGGGTTTCCATACTTGGCTATCATCCTCCACCTCTGGTCTCCCTGCTGTGACTGTCTGAACAGTGTCCTCCCTTCTCCATATGGAGACTATGATCTCCCAAGAAAAGGCCTTATTTATGACCAAGGAAAGAAATGAACAGAGAATAAAAGACAAAATAGAGTTTCCTGCTGCTTTTCTGTTACAATTCAAATGTGATTCTGTACCCTCCTTGGACCTAGTTTAATCCTTTTAATGAGGAGTTAGACTTGCTTCCTCTAGTGAAATCACTAGACTTGCTTCCTCTAGTGAAATCAAATTTAGAGGACTGTAGGTGACATAATAATTGATTTCCAGTAACATACTCAAGTAGTTCTATTTTTTAAGATTTTTAGGTAAACAGGTTAAAATATTATTTCCCATTCTCAGAACATTACCCATTAAAAAAGAAGCTTTTTAAAAAGGGAATATTCAAATGCACATTTAAGAGGTTTATGTAATACAGTAGGGTTTTAAGTTCATACCCATCATCCCTGGACCCATTTCTCAACAGTAACTGATCACAGGATGCCTTTAAAAATGTTTCATTGTATCCAGACATTTTATACATGCACAAGCATCCTGTATATGTGCTCATTGTTTCACTAAACACTCCTATACGAATTTCTTTTAATCTCTCCTTTGCTGTCGTGGGTGAGATTAATAGATAATGGTTTTAGGCCAGGCCAGGTTCTCCATAAAAAAAAAAAAAACCTGAGGCAAGAAAAGATGGTGTATGCAGCAGCCACGCCTCAGACAAGAACACAGGGAGGAAGAAAGGAATTATTTATCTGCCCAGTTCCTCCCTATTGCTAACTGTTTAGTCCTACAAAAATTTAAATCCTCTAAAGCTGTGCATTGCTGACATGGCAGCTCACGCCTGTGAATCCTAGCTACTCAGGAGGTAGAAATCAGGAGGATTGCGGCTTGAAGCCAGCTCAGACAGAAAGTTAGCAAGATCCTGTATAAAGATCCCAGAAGTAGTGTTTCACATCTGTAATTTCAGCTACTCGGGAGGCAGAGGTAGGAGGATCAGTCCAAGGCTGGCTCCAGGTAAAAATGTGAGGCACTGTCTGAAAAATAAAGTAAAAAGAGCTGGGGAGTAACTCAAGTGGTAGAGCACTTACCTAGCAAGCATGAGGCTCTAAGTTCAAACCCCAGTACTGCCAAAATAAAAAAAGAAAGAAACACTTAGGTCAAACAGAGCCAGCTGTGTGGTACCTAAGCTTGAGTGAGCAGCTGGGAGTTTAGAACATGAGAAGGTGGTGCTGAAGGAATCAGGCAGGATACAATGTGCCCATTACACACGTGTTCACAACTTTTCAAAGGTGCTGTCTCCTAACCATAAAACAAAGATGTTTTTTAAAAGGAAAATAATTATAACAAAATAACATGCATTTCAATATGGAGATGCTGGGGCACTACAGTACTAGAAGCTAAAATGAAGCATTCAAACATTTAGCTTTTATCTAAGTTTACCATTAAAGAGGCAACAGTAAGTCAGATGGATTATATTGTAACTTGTAACTCAAGTCCCATGTAAATAAATTCTGAAAGCATTTTGGTAATGTCAAGAGTAAAACAAAGCCATAATCTTTCTTGTATATATATATATATGGTAGTTTGTATCTAGAAAATTCAAAATATACTGAATCAAAATGCTTTCATGTATAAATAAAGTCAAACCTCAGTTCAGAACAATCTAAGAAGACAGAAAAATTGAGGAATGCTTCCATTTGATGTAAAGCTGTCATCAGCAAGATCAACTCTGGCAGTTGCTCCTTAAATGTTAGTAGCTGATTCTCCTCCCCCACCCCCGCCCCCATCATGTGATAAAAAAAAAAAACACAGGAGTCCAAACTGCCCCAGTAGGGTGCAGGGAGGAGGTAGTGCCTGCGACCACATGAAAAGAAAATATAGGGAGAGATGAGCATTTCACAGAGCTTGTACTGAGAGATTTTCTCCATGCTAGCACTTGGAGTTGCACAATACTTGACCATATCTGTGTGCCAGGATTTAGCTAGCCATCTGACTTTTCCAGCTTGCTACAAACATGATCCTTATACATTAGGGTCCGTGCACTTGTGTAATCATAGCTCTAGCATAAATTCCCACAAATCAAAAGGGCATGTTTCTAAATTTTTATGGATTTTTTGTCAAATTGTTCTTGAAATTATTGACAAATATCTGTATCTACTGATGGCCTTAAATGCCTGTTTTCACCTCCCACCATTAGGTATGATAGGTTTCAATGTTGGTCAACTGCTTTTTTTAAAGATGAAAAGGAACAACTTTAAATGTCCTACTTAAAGCCATTTTCATGTGTTTTATATAACTTAGTAGCTCTGGCCTTGACTTGTCTTTGCATGCAGGACATTCATGTGGAAGAGAAATTAGACTTTCAGTGTTTTCAGGGGTAGGCCGAGGATCATGACTAAAGGTTAGATGGATGGAAGTTTTGACTGTAAGAATGCAAGACCTTTCAAACAACTCGATCCTTCCAGCAATGGAGTGGGCCTGCCTGATGAGATAAGGGCCTCCCTCCTTATAGCTGGGAGTTTTCAATTTCAGGCTGGATGAACAACTTCAAAGATGTTCAAGAAGAGATTCCCGAGTTTAGTGGCACATTATACAAGGTCAATGTTTTCCAAAAGTAGTACCTGAACCCTGGTGTATGTGTGGGAAGACTTTAGGTGGTACAATTTAAAAAATTCTAATGGGCCATAGTATATTATGTTACTATGTTTCTAGCAAATCATATACCTTAATATATGAAGGTAGTTCTGCTGAAACTATATAAACACTAGGCAGAAATATGCTCGATGACCTCTAAGGCCTTTCGAAACTGAGATTCTATAGTACTAAATATAATCTCAAGACTTTTGAAGTTTCAATTAGTAAAAAAGACTCCTAAATCCCAGCCCATTACATTATTGCAAACAATTTAAACACAAATCAAATTGTATTACAACAGAGAATTCGAGTATTAGGAACTCGAATCAAAACAGGTAAAAATGAGAGTTCCAACTCCTAGGTGAAAATCTATCCAAAAACTGTTTTCAACTTTCAAATTGGGGGACAATACTAATGTTTTAGGGAGACTGTCAGGGTTTTCTATAATGGGATCAAACCTGTACATTTTAAATGAATTCAGAAAAAAATAAGTAAACACACAAACAAAAGTTGCTAGTGGCTATTTTTACCCATTAGCACTTCCAAGGCCAGTCTTGGAAGAGTAACAGAGTTTGTCTTTAGACTCCCATGAATATAATATAAATTTCTGCACTGAAAATCGGAGGTGAATATTTATTTATTTTAAGTGTAAATTGTACATGATAGTCATGGTGCTATAAACACAGGCACATTAAAAAAAAAAAACAAAACCAAACAAGGTACATCCAAAACCTGCCCCTCATCCCAGCTTACTCTGAGCCCTTCCATATGGAATTTTTAATAATTGTAAAATGGACTAGAAAGGCCCTGCTACTTAATTTGGGGAGAATCATTCTGACCCTTAAGGCCATTCTTTCTGACTTCAACTAAGCAAAGTCAACAAGTTTTGGACAAAGGAACATGAATTCAGGACATTAATTCTATCAATTAACAGAATTAAATGCCTTGGCCTGGGTATTTTATAATAAGTTTATAATTTTATTTTTCCTACTTAGTTCAAGTCAGAAAAATAAATGGTATCTATATTCCTATTAATTGCTTTCAAATACCTATAGGATGGTTTACAGAGATGCCACCACACCAAGAAACTCACCTTCATCTACTGACAAGTGGACAGCTTTCCACAAATTACAGATTAAATATCCTACATCTGTGTTGGCTTTCATTTGTGACAAGCATTGTAAATTTAATAATTCGTGGAACTTTAATTCCCCACAGTGACTGAGTTGGTTCTTTGACTCAGACATTATGGGGATTTAGAGTTTGTGTCTTCCACACTGACACATCAAGACAAGATGGAAACATACAGTATAAAGTCATTGTAACTTTTGAATTCAAAATGAGAAAAAAAGGATCATTTGGAAATTAATTCATCATAGCCACTCTGATATGATACACTTTAATTGGAAAGAAAAATGATTCATATATACAATTCTCTTAGTAAAATTTTCCATTTCTTGCTAATAACACAGTTTAGTTTACTTCAGAAAATGCATTAATTTTATTCAAATATATTTTTCCTAAAATATAAATATTTAAATTAAAATTTTATAAATGTAAAGGATATTGTTTCTGTTGACCCTCAATCAGTCTGAAAGTTGAGTGATGAAATAATGTTATTATGATCATTTAAATTTGTCTATAAATATATAATAGGATCTTTGCAACTTAATTATGAGTAATTAACTCATACTTCATGTAGTACCGAGCACCTCAGATTACATATTGTTGAATTAAACTATTGGCATTAATATATGTATTTTAATATGTTATTTACAGTACACAAGTATAATTCTCTTGTATAACAACATTGCAGTGATTTTGAAAATATAGAGTGAAAGAATGGGATATCATTTACATATTCATCAATGCTTTCCTACAGTATTTAAGCTGGGAATTCACTCTTCAGCATTTTAAAACAGGAAACAAATAGACAGTCAATATCCTAAAGCTGTGTTTTCTAGAGCATTGTTGCAAAAAACACCGGCTTTACAAGATGCATTAGAAAGGTGTTCTGTAGGTAAAGATGACACACCACCCTCCCCATCTTGAAAACTCACAAAGAACAGTAGCATCCTTGAGGAGGCCCAGAATCTCGACATCTGTTTAACATTTTCAAACTCAGGATTTAACAAAGGTTTTATTATCAAATCCATACCCCACCAAAACACCTCTCAGTCGACACCCCGCATGGCGTATACTTTGGAGAGATTAAAAAAAACTACTACTCAACAAACATATCTATCTGAGGGAGCAAAATCACATTGCCTGAAACAGTTTCACTTTTTAAAGCTCTCTGTATAGGTATTTGCTAAAATATGCCTCTAAAAACACAGTTCAAACAGAACATTTGTCTGTGTAAATACAGGGGAAAGAAGTGTTAGAAACGCAGGAGTTCTACTTCTAATTTTCAAGGTTTGAGAGAATTAACTCCAAAATCAAATGATGGGTATTGTTTTTAGTGAATTCATCTTGAAAGAGAAAACCAAAAGCATTAAACCAATAACGTGTTCCATACTATCTCAAAATATTGTTGTAGAAAAATATCAGGACATTATATTATTTCCCTGGAATTCCAAAAGAGCTGCAGATGGTATTAGTAGATTTGATTGTAGTGCTGGGTCTATGTGTAAAACCAAGCATCATCTAGAATTAAATGAGACTTCTCCATTACTGGCTGGAAAATGCATGCATACAAGCACAGGCAGAAACAAGAGTCAAAGTGCTCAGTACTTCCACTGAAAGCCATGAAATGAAGACAGTTAGTAACCCCAACCAGGTGAGATATATGTACCTCAGATGACAGTCTTGTTTTTTTTCTTTAAAATACTCATAATTTGCTTTCTATAAATAAAGGTAACAGTCTTGGCTATAAACAGCAGACCTTGGTGTGAGTATAGTCCCAGAATTAATCTTGTGCATACAACTCCTCAGCAAAGCTTTACAATTTAAACAGTCTACCTTGGCTCAGATTCCACCAGCTCACAGCTCAGATCAGTATCTGATGCTTTATTTAATTTCTGTTCACACAAGCTAATGAGAACACTTTGGAATCCTTCTACACCATTGAAAGATAATTCATTAAGAAAAAAAAGGGAACAGCTGCTTCATACTCAAATAAAAGGTGGGCTTTCACTTGAAGTGTTTTTCTTTCCCTACCAGTGAAAGTCAACTCAACTAGAATTAGGAAATAAATCACAATAAAATAAGGGATCATTGTTACTGGAGTGGGGAGGGAGTAGATGAAAATATCCTTTTCTTAACTCTTCTGCCCCTGCTTACCTGGGTAAACCAGTTGCTTAGAAACTGGTATGATTAAGATTAGCACTTGCTGTTCTAATGGCCGTGTCCTTGGCTGTCATTATTTGGAAGCTATGTCATGTATATCCAATCACCCTTACTTCTCCAACCTTGTTCTGTTCTAAGAAATTTTATTCTGATATTCCTCATTGTATTTTCTTAGGGTACCCCTTGTAGTCACTGAAACTGACAGAGGAGCCTCTGAACATTACACATGACTCCTAAGACCCGAAGCTGACTGTAGCATGCTACATCTGGTGCGCTGCTCACTACGGGTGGTGTCTGACATCACTCTTGTGGCATCACAGCCCTCCTTTCCTAAGGCAAGTCGCCCCTCTGTTCAGGCCACCAAGCCCAGTCTTGTAATCTTAGCTGACAGGAAGGAATGAATGATGAAAACGATCGGCTTGGGGCAGGAATGAAGATCCAGTTGCTGAAATTTTAAAAGAAGAGAGCATGAGAGACTTTAAATTAATTCTTGATTCAGAAAAGTGTTTTACACATCAAAAGAATCTATATGCACTTCCAGCTTTTAAGTGTTAACTGGAGCAATTATGTTTTAAAATCATGCCCCCCGCCAATGAGATCAAGGAATCACTCTTTGAACGTGTTCCTTACATCTCATACATCCTTTATTCTTAAACAGGTCTGTGAAATTTATCCATACCAATTCCATAAATATTGATGCTGCCTTTCTCCACTGTCTAAACCATTTATTTTTGGTTCTACAATTGTGCTATTATGTTGGATTTTGTACAGCATGAAGCAGTACTAAATTTTACATCTGAAGATTAGAGTCTTGGTTCCAACACTTTTTAGATGTATAATCTTGGCCAAGTCACTTTTAAGTTCTCAGTTCTACTAATGTGCAGATTAATTAGAGTATTAACTAAGGTACTTCATGTGAAAATTCCTTATAATCTGTGAACACAGAGCCCATGCTAATCGGCTATATCCTCACCATCCTCTATGAAAGCCACTCATAAAGTCAGAGTGGCTCCTACAGAACTCAGCACAGTCAAAGAGTAAAAATCCTGCAGAAGTTGAATTTTATCAACTGGTCTAATTTAGAAAAATTGGGGGAACTGTTCCTAATTCAAAAGAATTATTCATCAGTTTTTTTCTTAGGAATAAGAATAATCTGAACATACAAGAACACCTACTAAAGTGAAGATCGTACTCATTATAAATCAGGTACCATGCTCCGTATATCTGTTAATTTCCTCTCACAAAATCCCTTGGAGGTAGCTATTGTTATCTCCATTTTATGGAAAAGCTAAGATTTAGAGAAGTTGTTAAACTTTCTGAAACTGTAGATCTTACAGTAAATAGAAAGTGTGGATGACTCACATATGAGTTATGCCATAGACAAAAATTAACCACCACATTCTATGATGTTAACACAGAATCCAACTTTCAGAAGTAATATTAAAGATTTCCCACTTTAGTCCCTGTAGTTTCTGGATAGGGAGACTCAGAGCCAAAGAAATAAAAGTACTTTCCCAAGACAACTGGTGACTTGTTTGCAGACTCAGAGAGAACCCAGAAAACCTGGTCCATCTTTGCTCCCTTCTCACCTCAGAAAAGCCCATTCCTTGCCTCTTGGAGTTGCTTAATTGTATATCTGAGCATGAATTGAGCTTATCAACTAATGTACCAGATGTAAAAATTTTTAAAAAGTCCTTCCTAAATCTTCCACATGAGGGGGTAATTAAAGGCAGAAAGGGTGAAATTTAGACATTGTACAAAAATAGCCTTGAATTTTTAAGCTTAGGATAAAACAAGAAACTAATTCCTATTCTTTTCCACTTTGTTAGGAGTAGTCACCTTTAGGGGAAAAAAAAAAGGACAGAGCTGGGTGATTAATAAATGGCAAAAAAAGTAGAAGTAGTTTTAGTAAAATGGACTTTTGAGTCACCACTTTATTTCAAAACAGGCTCTTCAGACCACACTTAAAACACACAAACAAAAAAAGCCAATGAAATTTTGTAGCTCCTTTGTAAAGGTTAGAAAAATACCTGGCTGGAAGAGTTCTCTGAAAGTAACTGAGGATCAACTGTCAGTCTTGGGGAATGGACTTTGTCATGACTGACTGGGGTAGCCATAGCGACAGCCTGGTCCTGTGCTGAGGTTACCAGTACCCCATGATGTAGGACAGTGGTGAGAAATTTTGAGCAAAAAGGTCCTTTAACTCTGTTCAGTGTGTATTTGGCCCTTTCTTTCAGGCAGCCCCTTCTGGGAAAACTCAAATGCTCTAGAGAAAATTACCAATAAGTCTTCACAGGAGAAATGACTGTACTCACTGGAGAGATGGGGGTAGAGGGAACAGGGAATATAGAAAGCCAGTAGCTAACTGGAAATCACTAGATTTTTGCAAATGGAGATTTATGTGTGTTTTACATATTGTTCATCCTTGTTATTGAGGGAAAGTCAACAAATATATGCTGACTAAATGGGTAGCTAGGAGGACCTGAACAGAGACTAGTTATTATAAAATCAAGGGCCTCTTTGAAGCCCTGTATTGATAGCTTGATGAGATGCTACATTTTCCTGAGAAATGCCAAGAACTATACTTGCTCAGAAGTGGAAGAATGTGCCATTCTCACCCTCTGTGGAACTGATAGAATCCTCTTTTTCATTATGGCAGGCAGCAATGACCACAGGAAATCATGAGCCTAGACACAGGACTTATTTGCACTGTTATGAGAGACATAAATGTTACCTTAGCTGATAAATTTGCTAATTTTCTTGGATATTATTTGACATTAGCCCCAAACCTCTATTCCCCTGTCTGTCCCTCTCTGCTCAGGTAACATTGTCCAGTTTCTTTTTGTTTACCTTCTGCACCTTCTAGTCTATTCCTACCTCTGTTCTTGTCCTCTGTCTGCCTGATTGCAAGGATTGTTTGATTTTCCTACTATATTCCTAACACCTGGCTCAATGCCAAGGTTATATTGCATACTTGATAATTTTAAAACTGAATGGTACATATTTTAAGCTGCCAGGATCCCATATGATAAGAATTGAATGCTAACCTTATAAGTGATTCTTTCCTTTGATTCAAATATTTATGTAGTCTTCTAATGAAAAATGAGACCAAAGGAAAAAACTTTGAAATAATTGAATCCACTTGAAATAAATGAATCCAATTACTGTTTTTCAATCAAATAAAATCTGGGCCTGCAGGTAGTTTGTTAACAGTCAAATGTTTAATAAATGTAAGGCAGTATTATGTTTCTGAGTTATTATAGTTATGTTGAATAATGAAATATATAAAATAACACTGTCAAAAGAAAAGTACACTTACAATCTCTCCTTCTTTGCCTCCAAAATCTAAATACAGCATGCGGACTCCATCATCTGAAGACATTTTGAGCTTCTCATAAGGGGATTGTATGATTGTCTTGGCAAAGGCACCCTCCTGAGGTTCAGTGGAAATAGAAAATCCATTCTCGTAATGTACGGTCAAACGACACTCCTGGTTTCTGTAGGTGCAAGCTGGAGGGTTGGGGGTGAGGAGGGAGAGTCAATCCATCAGTCCATTTACCCAGGCACCTAACACTTCTAGTCTCCTCAGCCCCAGGGTCCAATCACAGATTTCTTACTAAAGTAAAACAAACAAACAAACAAATCTTAATTGATCATGAAAATATTCTCCTTGGATAGATTTTGGATAGTTGTTTAACTAGCCCCATCGAACTGAGTTATCTAAAGATGTTCTCAGGTTTTATAGGATAAATTGAACACATCATCATATTAATTGAAGCTCTGATTAAAACAGAAACCCATACTCCCCAACTATTTGTAGGCATCATTCAAGTTGTAACTGGGTTGTACCTTTGGTCACTTCCTAATTTCTTCTCTGCCACTGTTCAGCTAGCTCAGTTCACAAAAATCTTTGTTATTCTCGTTTAGCTAGTCTGTCACCACCTTTATCATTTTCCTATTGAAGCAGTGCTCAGCTTTTTGAGAGAAAAAGATTTTATATAATTTGTGGAATGTAAAGTGAAACCAAATCCTTTTGGATATCTTTCTTCTTTCCTAGAATACACCTCAAATGGTTGTATTGAGTCTAAACTTCGCTGCTTTATACATATAACTTTATTAAACTTAGTATTGTGGTGGTTTGGGCCTTACCAACTCCCAAGCTCACAACCTCAGTCTTTCTTGCTGATTTCCCAGGCATCAAAATTAAGGAATACTCCCAAAGGGTTTCCAAAAAAGATGGGAAATATTTGGGGTCACAAATTACTTTCAAGATTATCATTAAAGGACACTGATTAAGCTGAGTTTGGAGGTCACATGCTGTAATTCCAGTACTTGGGAGGCTGAGGTACAAGGATCAATAAATAGTTCAAGGCTTGCCTGGGCTGCATAGTGAGATCCTGTTTTAATAAAACAGAATAAAAATGCTGATTATCTTGGATATGTTACTTAAGAAATTTGATAAAATATCTAGTGTTTCATGCTTACACGGGTAGAGGAAATTTGGAGAAACCCTTCTAAATGGTACTGTGTGTCCCATCTTTCAGAATATTCTTGAGTGCCTGAGAAGTGGCACAGAAAAATGGAAGAAAGCATGATAGAAGACAGTGTACAGAGACTATTAGAAGCAGCCGAAAGGAATGCAAAGGAAGACTGCTTATGAGAATATGAGCCACAGTGGCTCATCAATGGTTTCTTTGTGTGTCCACAGGAGACTTTGGAGAGGGGTTGGCTAACATTTGTCTTGCATCTTAGGGACAGTAGCATGATGGACCCTGCCAACTGCAAATTGTGCTGCTGCTCAGGAGCACTGAGTTAAATACTGAGTCTACTTTAGCACATGGACAACCGTTTACAGCATGTATTTTGCCCACTAAGGTTGCATGTTACTTTACCTTTTTCTAGTTTTTTATTTTACGTTAGCCCAATTGAAAATTTTAATTATCTATATCTATATGCACCCACATATTTATGTATGTTTTGAAACCTATCTAGATAGGAATGAAAATGATCGTGGCAGCTGTACAGAATTGTTTATTGACTCACTGGCATAATAGTGGGATGTTCATGTCTCTGTAGACACTACAGTAGTTGAGTTATCATCTTTAAGGTGACACAGTCTGGAGTTAAAGTCAGTTCTGTCATTTATGAGTTGGGCAATCTTGGGCTTATACATTACTTATCCATTCTTAAGAATTTGTTTCCTGGTTTGATAGAATGACAAAGGATCGTGGGATTAGACAAACTAGCAATTACTGTGACCCAGGACACATATACCCTTGAACCCAAAGTCCATAAGACATTAAGACAGTAATTACACTGATGTCTCTACTCCATTTTACTTCATTCTTAAAATATTGGCTTTGCTTCAACTAATTGACTTAGGACATTCAGAGGATTGTTTCTCACTGTATGAAAAAAACCAAAACAGACATTATAGAAAGAGCCCAGCATACAGTAAGTGCTCAATAAATGGTGTAGTATAGAAAGACTCTTCCTTTACATACAGATCCCTCTCTAGTTCTCGCTGAGAGCTCTCCCTGACCATGGACTGTGCTCCTTCTATGCTTCCTCCATCCCGTCTCTGCCTCTGTGTTCACACCATGGGCAGTGGTCTCTGGTGACTCTTCTCAAGGCTTTTCCTTTTGCTCTGTTTACCTCTACTTATATGCCTTTGGTTCCTGCTCTTTTTCACAGACTGGGCCTCCAGTTTTCTGCTCAATTCTCTGAGCTGCCTAATATAGTTTCAATATTATTCTGAATGATACTCTGATTTAGTTTCTGTTGCTTATCACCGAACCCTATTAGTTCACACCTCAAAGTTCCCTTGCTCTAGGGAACCATCCAAGAGTGACAGGTGAGAGAATAATGATTGACTTATCCAAATTACCAACTTTTCTTAAATGATAATGAAATAAAAACTTTTTTCCAATAAAAACCTTTGGCTATATTTTAGTAGGGTATACAGTGTCTAAGCTGAGAAGAATTCAAATTTACCTCTGGAATTGTAAGTACCTCAAAAGGCCAGTAATAGAAACTTTTTTGGGATCAGGATGGAGTAGAGAGTGTATCCTTCCTATAATAGTGTGACATTGGTATCCCATAGCCACCAGTACTCACCTGTGGTGACTTCAGTAATGAGTTCAGCTGAATTGTGGCACCCCTGTACTATGCTCCTTGTCCAGTGGGAGAGGTCCCTGCTGATCTCTGCCCTGAACAGATGTGTTTCAATTCCTTGCTTTGTACCAGTTCGTGTTGCAAAGGACAGATCCACACCAGCCTGGGGTGATCCCTTCCCTGGACCTGAATGGACCAGCCTGGAGAGAGAGAGAGAGAGAGAGAGAGAGAGAGAGAGAGAGAGAGAGACAGAGAGAGATAACATCATCAAACTGGGCTCTATGTTATCTACCTGGAATATCACCTAGTAAAATCCCCAAATAGGTGATCTTCTTTTATTTTTGTGATCTCAAACCAAAGGCATCCACCATACTTTATACTTCAGTGGTTTTCTGCCATCCTCTCCCTAATGGTAGAATGAGATTATGAAGCAGCCAATACTGGAGCATTTGGTTAAATGTGCAGAAAAGTTGAATATTAAGACTTTAGCTTGTGTAATTTCAGTTTACATTCATTCAGCCAAAAAGAAATAAAAAATAAACAAATGTGAGAGAGAAAAAATAATTTAAATTCTGTGCAAAATTCTCTCTGCTAGTCCATTCTTGAGCATGGACAGAGTACAGAGTCTCAGAGTAAGTGAGCATGGATGGGAAAACAAATGTCCTGCTGGATGACTATGAGACTGAGTGATTGAGGCAGGCTGGACTTGGGCAAAGCTTAGGACTCTTAGAACATGTATCACCTAATACTGTATTTCAGGTTGAACATTCTCTTTCTCTGAGCCTTCTTTTCAGTTGCAAATGTGTTTAGGTTATTCACAGGCTGGTGTGGGAACAACTCAAAGAAATACCTCACCTGGCCCAGGTGTGTTCACCCAGTTGTGTTCACCCACAACTCTCCCTACCCATCCATTACTGGTGGTTAGGAATCACCAGGTTCTTCCCTTCCCGTAAGTTATTGCAAATTTTAAAAGCACCTGAAAAAGAAAGATTCTGCTTCCGGTTTCCCCCTGGCCCTTCCATGGCCTTTTGTAATTTCCTTCCCTAACTTTTAATAAACTCCACACACCTTATTTCCTACTTGGATGCTTCCATGTGGGACACAAAGAATTTGAGAATCTTCTAATCAGACTGCAAATACCAACTTACTACACAGATGGTGTCTTCCCCTACCTACACACACACACTTGTGAGGATCTGACTGCACTGAATGTACTTCTGGGTATGCAAATAGCCTCTAAATGCAAGCAAATAACCTTGAACTCAACTGAGGAGGCTGAGATTTGTTTTTGCTGGAGAAAAGACTTGCAATGCTAGACTTCTTGAGAAATGATAAAGAACTGTACTTCAGAAGATATATAAGGGAGTTAGAAGAGTTTTGTTTTGTTTTTTAAGTTCACACTGACTTTAGAATTTACCCCCTGCATAAAATGTGACCTCTACAGTAAACACTTTTCTGAAAGACCAGACTTGAAATGTGAAGAATCAGTGTTCCAAGTTCCACCTCCTGAGCAGGCACTGGCTCCTTCTCCTCACTTGTCACCTTGAACACTCATGCTCCCTCCTGCTTGATATCAACCAAGGGGGTTGAGATCAATCCCCTCTTGGCAAAGACTGTCATATCAGTCATTTGCAGGGCAGCATAAGTATAATTCTGTAACTGTTACTTCTCTCCAGGGAATTTGCATTTTCATCCTTATCTTTTAATACAGAAAGCAACACTTTACTGTTTGCTAGAGAAATGCCAGGTGTCTGTTCCCACAGTGGATGGGAGAGTTATTTTCTTAGGCAAAGAGCTTGTTACCGCTAGATTAAAATATGCTCAACAGAAATCAAGCTTATTTTCTCTTGTAAACATAAATACTGGAGAACAAAACTATCAGTGGAATAAAGCCTATTTTAGCCTGTTGACGGTCTAGTAACAAGTTTCCTGTATCACTCTGAAGAGCTTTATTTCAGCTACAAAGTTGAGATTTGGTGGGAAGGTGGTTTGCAATGCCAACTTGAAGACAAAGCTTACTTGAGAAGCGGTTTGGCTGTGAGGTTCATTAGTGATAGGGAAGTTCCACGAATCTCACTGAGAGCAGAGCCCAGGGCAATGTGAAGGGAAGTGGCTGCAGACGTGGGTGTCCACAAACGGGTTTAATGAGTAGAGATTGAGTACAATTAGCTCAAGAGGGACAAAGACACTTTGGAATGGGAAGACGGACTGAGGAGCTGCTGGAGGCTTCACAATCAAGTGAGCCTAAAGAAAACAGAAAGCATTTCTTAAAGCCTACCATAGGTTTTGAAGGGATTGAGAATCAGATAAAAATTTGGCAGGAAAATGTATCTGTAGATACCTTCCTATAGGAAGCAAGAAACTACATGGTGCTTTTTTTGTTTTTGCAGGTTTTTTTATTATGATATATTTATTATACAGGAGGGGATTCATAATGAAAATTCTAGTTAGGCTTATATTATACATTACTTACATCACCCCCTTCTTCTGTCCTCCCAAACCTCTCCTCGCCCCATGTAAAGCAAGAGGTTTCTTTGTTCTATTTCATATAAATATATGAAGCCCTTCAACCATGAACCCTTACCTTAATCTCCTTCATTCACCATCCCCCCTCCCAGTAGTACCCCCCCACTGTACCTATTTTACAGTTCTGTTTTTCGTTATTAATATTTGAGTTGATATTCAAAGTATCCCCACTGTGAGTATACTTTACTTGGGTCCATTGAACCCCTTTCATTATTCTCCCTTACCTCTTTACCTCCCGCCCTCCATTTTTCAACAGTTTTCAATATACATCCTTATATTCTCTACCTTCACAGATGTTATGCTTTACAACATTACTGGTGTTCTATCATTCTCTTTTCCTTTTCTTCTTTCCCCATGTTCCCTAGAGAACATTGCAAACGTTATGCATATGAGTTTGGGTATGATCATGCCTATTTTTGTGTATATGTTTATCTTTTGGATCTGTCTTCCACATATGAGAGAAAGCAAGTGGCCTTTGTTTTTCTGAGCCTGGCTTACTTCACTTAACATGATGTCCTCCAAGTGTATCCACTGACTTTCATGTCATTTTTCCTTATGGCTGAGTAAAATTCCATTGTGTATATATACCACACTTTTTTGATCCATTCATCAGTTGTAGGGCATCTGGGTTGTTTCCAAAGCTTGGGTATTATGAATGGTGCTGCAATGAACATTGGTGTACAGGTGTCTCTATTGTATCCTGACTTTTATTCCTTTGGGTAGATGCCCAGGAGAGGTATGACTGGATCATATGGCAGTTCTATCTTTAGCTTTCTGAGGAATCTCCATACTGCTTTCCACAGTGGTTGTACTAATTTGCATTCTCACCAACAGTGTATAAGGGTTCTAATATCCAGAATCTATAGGGAACTCAAAAACCTCAATCCCCCAAAAATCAATAGCCCAATGAAAAACTGGGCACATGAATTAAACAGGGAATTCTCAAAGGAAGAGGTACAATGGCCAGTAAATACATGAAGAAGTGTTCAACTTTCCTGGTTATAAAAGAGATGCAAATCAAAACAACACTTAGATTTCATCTCACCCCAGTTAGAATGGCCATAATCAAGTATAATAACAACAACAAATGCTGGCAACAGTGTGGTGAAACAGGAACCACTGTGCTTTCTTAGGTGCTCAAAAGTGTTTTTACATCCAAAGAAGTTTAAATTTTAGTTGTTTTAAGAAGTGTATTCACCTCTTCCTATGTAAACGTTAAAATCTGTATCAGCTGGGCACAGGTTGCTGGCTGCATTTAAAATGAACAGGGTCATATATTTGGTAGACATAAAAAGCTGCATTGGAACCTCATTTATTGTATCTGCCATGTGTTACTTTTTAAAGAACCATTGCCTCATCAGGTAGTGTTGCAAAGGTTAACTAAAGTAATCGATGCGCTGTGTGTGGACAGCACAGAAACCAACAGGTGGTTTATATTAATACGTACTTCTATTCCATAAATCTACCCTCAGCTTTCTTATTAAAGATATTATTCCCACCCTATAGGATTAGGATCATGTATAATAAAATACAGAGAACATTTAGTTCAGTATTTGGTACATCACAGTCTGCATTCAATAAAAATTAGTTTACTTATGCCTTGCCTAGACTAAATTGTTCTTACTTTCCATCCAGATGAACTCAACTTTGTCACACTCTGGGGCCAGTATATATTGTACAGGCATAAGCAAAATGAGAAAAAGATGTATAAGTGTCATGGAGAATAGGTCTCTCTCTCTCTCTCTCTCTCTCTCTCTCTCTCTCTCTCTCTGTGTGTGTGTGTGTGTGTGTGTGTGTAATTTCCAACCAGTACTTGTTCTTCTCAAGGCAAGCTGTGAAACTGGAGACAGTAATAATAACTGGAAACTGAAATTTTTTAGAAAATTCATATTTGGGGTATTTTGAGTGTGGGAAATGTAGTTACTAACAGGATGTAACAAGAAAGTCCTGAACCGGGGCAACCCAAGCTGTGCACAGGGAGTCCTTTTGGGAAAACCCAGCTGGGCACAGGAAGTAATGGTGAAAAACAGAGCCTTACAAACTGGACTACTGGTGTTCTTATTTATCTCATCACTAAATTTTCATTAATTGAAAAGAAAAGGAAGAAGAAAACTTTATATTTTTCAACCAACCAAGTGTGAATTATCTAATATTTATGCTAAACAATAATTAGATTTGCCTTCTAAGGAAAAGTAGATATGCTGGATTAATGTGTGCTTTCGAATATGCTGGTATTAGTATAGTACTGTATGTAAACTCTAAGATAAAAGCAAATTTCTGCTACCTATTGTATATACTAGATAGTATATACAAAAGGTGACAGCAAGTATATACTAGGTAACAAAAGGATACTTTTTCCAGACAAACTGAAAATACATCAGATACCTACTGTATAAAATGGCTCACATCTTTTGGATGGAGTATTACATAGACCTTTAAAATTATTTTTTAACTAATTTGTGTAAATGTGGGGAATGAATGTGTAGCTATTGTAGAGTTCTGAATGTGCAACTTAACTATATAAAAGAAAAGCTTGCCAACAAAACCATTAAAATGTTGAGAAATTTCATAAATGATTTCATTTCTTCTTTTTTTTAAATTAAGTTCTCCTGTAAGAAACATATACTACACAAAAGATTGCCTTACAAAAACTATGAAATGGAAATGAACCCCA